GCGATTGAGAGGTATGCCACGATTCTGGAGGATGAGGGCGTGAACTACCTCTACATGAAAACGGCCGTGGACCGAGGGAGCGGTTCTGAAGTGGTGGTTGGCGGGCACCTTCTTCTGACTGAGCTGCTGGTTCCATGATATTTGAGCGTTTCTGTGCGGGTTTCATATGTGCGGGTTTCATATGGTACTACGGTTTCCTTTCGTGTCGATAACCTCGTTGGAATTGTTGGAGTCGGATGAACAAAGTATTTCTCGTCCTCTGATGCGTGTCTTTCCACGCGCTCTCTCAGCGCAGCCAGCGTGCAGCTTGGGTCTCGCCCAGGTGGAGAGAGCCCACTCGCCCAAGAATTTGTGGGAGAGGGTCAAGCTTTCGAGGACACCCGCGATATCCCGCGATCATTGATGTCCACGATGTTCATGTTCATGGTTCCCCTGCAGATTTCAAGCTCAGAACCCTGATGGAGGGCCCCGAACGTACTAGAACCCTCCGAAACCCTTTCGGAACCCCAAGACGCGTCGAAAGCTGGAAAGACTTTGGGACAATGTTTACTTAAATGCCGAGCAGCATCCTTCAGTTGATCGTTGACATGTCACATTCTAAACATCCGTGTCGACCCCCTGACCGTCGCCACGTTGCTTACAGCCAGCCCCCAGAGGGTGCCTGGCCGCCACAAGGTCCCTTCAGCCCTTTTTTGTAGGTTTGCGGAGCGGTTTTGGAGTTTAGGGCGTTTAGGGTTGTAAGGTTGAGGTGAGACGGCTCCGCAAGACCTGACAGGTACGGCATGACGAGCATTGACAAGGCGCCGGCACATGTGCGACGAAAGATTCACAACCTATAGCAGCCCTATCACAGCCACAAAGAAGCCAACCCCACACCCCAAGTCGAAATACCATGACTCAGGGGTTAAGTTGGGGGTACAGCGGGTACGGAGGGAGTGCCCTGATCAGGACAGCTTCTCGCTGAGCGCCCTTGGCCACCAAGCGCAGAGCCAGCGCTCGTCTGCTCCACATCATTCCATCTCGTGTGTCAGCCGAGATGCGCGGCAGCTGCCCGGCAGGAACAGATTTGACATGAACAGACTCCACATGTCCAGGCGCTCCTCCTTCCCTGTTTGGGAAGGTGTCACGGGAACAAGGTTTAATGCATTAGTGTATTATGTTCTTCTTATGTGGGAGAGAGAACACTGGCCATAGCTGCGAGCCTTGGCAAGGAATGTGTTCATCACGGAGCACCACATCAAGCCCAACCGCTTGGGGCGAGAAAGTCCCAAAGTGGACACGGTGAACTTGCCGTCCACTTTAGACACAAATCTGTGGCTTGGCTCTGAGTATTTCTGGTACCGTTTGGCAGGGCAGCGCGCCTTCCTCTTCCTATTCCTTCTTACAAGCCTGGCAGGGCGACGACCACTGGCCTGGGATATGGTGGGAGATCGGATTTTACTGCTCAGAAGGTGGATCCAGAAAGTGCCTTGAATCGAATGGTGCAGTCAGTGTGCGCGTAGTGCTATGGCATGTTAGCAGGTGCCAGCTTGGAACCCTGCGATGTATAGGCATCCCCACAAATGATGCCATGAACCTCCTTCCGGACGGTCAGCAGTTCAAGTACAAGCGGGAGCCGAAGATCGTGATCGGCACTGTGCCGCAACCGCAGATTCTACGGGCTCAATACCTACTGTGCTGCACTACCTTTGAACGCAAGCCTTAAGACAAGTGAATACTGTGGTCTCTATAGTTGCTACAACGGAACTCCCTTGATGAGAGCCACCGGCACCGAGGAACCCCGCTTCAGCTTGAAGGAGTCCACCCTGCTGAAGACGCACAAGGCGGCCTTCTTCGGTAGGTCCTCTCCGGGACCTGCCGCGGTTGGCGACCAGCGACCCGCCAGTTTAGGGGGATGCTTAGGGGGATAGGGCCTTAGGGGGATGCTTAGGGATGCTTACCAAAAGCCGCTGCGGCAACCCTGAGTTTGATAACTTGATAACCCCCTGAAAATCTCTGAGCCAAGGTTTGGTCCAAAGTTTGAGGCCACGAAAGCGCGGATGGCACCTGCGTTCCCATTTGCTGGGAGCTCAGCCAGGAGCTGCACAGCATGCTCTGCTACGAGCCAGATGAGATCAAGCACCTTCAGTAGTTCTACTTCAGTTTGTACATATGCTGTGATCATCTACTTGCATTTGATGTCAGTCACAACTCTACTGTGCGGTGCTCGTCTAGTCTCATGCCGACCAAGTGTAGTGGTTGTGAGCATGTGATTGAACATCGTACTGCCGTCAGCTTTGTTTACCGCGGTACGGCGATGTTTTGTGGTGCTATGTTGCGAATCGTGCAGAAAGATGAGGTTCATGAAAGGAGCTCGCTGACGAAGGGTGTAAATATGTGAGTTTTCATGACGAGATACATGAGACAGCCAATCGGCATAGTCAATCTCATAATGCCAAGCCTTGCATGAGCAGGGGTCGAGCAGAAAGGGAGCAACGGTTTAGCACCACTTACGCCAGATGCGAGCCAACTCCCCAACTTGGGGTGTTTCTGTGCGCGCGTGTTGACTGCCACAGAGGCTCACAAGACCAAGCTGGTCTGGCCTGGAGTTTACAACAACCCGCCCGAGGCACGCCTGGCGGGAGCAGGAAGCCTTTTGAACCCTTGGAGACATCTGCCGCGCAAACGCTCTCCCTGAACCCAATCCACACACCCCGTGCATCCCGCAGCCAGAACTTTGTGGTCCCTGGGTACCCCAAGTATGACAGGTTGGACCAGGCACCTTCGAGCGGAAGGACGGCCAAAGCATCGGGCGGAATCAGGCTAATTCGGGTAATTGTCCCGGGTCCAAGGATGAGGGAATATCAGGACTGTTTTCAGATTCTAGAGTGTATATGGTTGATTCGGGTCTTAGACGAGTCTCAAAAGTGATCTGTTGAGCTCAGCTGCCCAGGATTCATCCATAGGTCCTCAGCACCTGAGTCGGCGACGCAATCATTCCACCTACTCCTTCTCCAAGCAGCCGAAGTTTGGCCGAGAAGCTAAGCCTCTCAGCCCCACTTGGCCATGCATGAGTATATGCTCTCAAGGTAAAAAGCTTCAGGGCCTGCCAAAGGTTTGATGAGGCCTTAAGGCTTGAAACTGAAGGCCGGATGATATGATCTCCAAGTACGATGCAGCGCGCAGCTGCATGGGCAAGCAAGTGCTGCACAAGAACCGGAGCGCGCCGAGCGTCGGCGCCGGCCTCGGCTCTGTGTGGAATTTGGGGGGGTCTTCTTGGGAGTGGGATCGTTGAGGGGGGGAGAGCCGCCCAGCCCTCAACAGGAGCTTGTAGCTCAACTGAGATCATGTTGTGTTGCCTTCCGCTGACCGTGAGCCTCTAGGTTTCAACCACGACACCCGCGACATGCGATCCAAGACCAAGCTGTGCATCACGTGCCATGGCTGAGAATGTTTTGGTCTCTTGGGCCTTGTGTGTTTTGTGGGATTCCCTTGACCTGCCCCTTCAGAGGAAGCTGGACGAGGGTCCTCGTGCAAACTTCACGAAGATGCACCTGCCGATGCCGCGGCTACCGATGGAGAAAACGACGCTTGCCTGGATTCCTGTGACAGATCCTCCCGAGCCCTCGCTGTTAGGCATTAATCAGCCTGCAAAGCTTCCATTCGGCCAACACATGAACGACCGGTGTCGGCCATGAGAGCTCAGAGGCAAGCTGTGTTGCCAGTCGTTTGGAGTCCGGAACCTTGTCGCTTCCTCGGTTAGGGCCATGTCTGAAGGTAACATGACATATGTAGGCCCTTGGAGGTTAGTCTGAACGTGCTTGCTGTGTGTTCCAGAGCAGACGGATCCTCCTGAATCAGTATGTTAGCATCGGACAAAGCAGTTCTTGCAGATCCCATCTTGTTTTGCGTCTTTGCAAGGGGGGGGGGGCCTCCAAGCATGTTGCGCAAGGTTCATAGAATCCATTCGAATGTCTCGGGCCTTCACAGGATCCTCGCCAGCGGCTTTGGATAGATCCTGGTGGTGCTCGACACGCTTGTTTCACCCTTTGCGCATGCCAGCCCATGATAGCCAATCTGATAGCCCAGTAGTCCATGTGTCCTCAAAGGGAGGCAGCGGGCTCTCGGAGAGTTTGGTGCTCGCGACTGCAGCTTTGCCAATGAAGCGCCAAAGAATCCCAAGAAGAATACGGCTGCTCAACACATCCGTCTGCAGTTGCCAGCCTTTCACAGTGAACGTGATTCCCGTTCGCCAGTGACCTCTGGGATACAGTGCCCGCTCTGGGCCGATTTCCCAGGTGTGTAGTGCCATCGCACAAGCTGGTGGTGTGTGTGCGCGCGTGTGCGCAGGATGTTTCACGGACTGTAGGAGGAAAGGCGTGCAGAGCATTGGGGGGCATCTGTGGAGGGGTTTCACGGCAAGATGGTCACTGCGAGGAATTACCTGCAGGCCTTGGAACAGATCAACAAGCACCTGGAGTGAGCGCAGGGCAGCGGTTGTTCCATGTTGATGTTTAGCCGAAGAGCTTGAAGAGCTACCCGAAGCCGAAGACTGTGCATGGTAAGTCTGTGAAGTCTGCCCCTTGATCGTTGCTTTTGCGGAGGTACTGGCCGGCGGGCATCGTCAACCGCTGCAAGCAGCGGCTCACAAAGATGCGACAGATGCTGATCCGGTGGCGGCCTTTCGGGACATCCCAGTGACTGAGTTGCGGCTCCTCCGGATGGCACCGAGGATGCGCAAGCTGGCCCTGAAAGGCGGCAGCAAGTGCGCCCCCTCCCGATTCTGTTGCGTTGATCTGCAATGATCATGGCCCTTTCTGGAAGCAAAACAATGTAGCAGCACCGACACGCCGGAACGACACTGGGAGCGAGTATCATCTTGATGCCGAAGTCATCACAGCGAAGGGTTGGGCAAGCATGCAAACTTCGAAAGACATGAACAGCAGCACAGGTAGCATCACTGGAATGCCCCCCCCCCCCCCCCCCCCCCCGCCCCTCCCCCTCCCCCTCCCGATGTTGTTTTCGGAATGCCCGAGGCAAATCCAAAGTGTTTCGGGTTGATCGAAGGAATCTTCCTTGCATTTTGACCACGGAACATTGGCGAGTGGCAGCTTATGGCCCTGGAGTGCAACGGCTAGCCTAGCAAGCCTGCTTCAGACTTGTGTGGTCATTGCCGCTGTTTTCAGGCTCCGTGGGTTCATGACCAAGTCGTCACGCAATCAGGCTCAAGCACTTGCGGAAGCGCAAAACAAACGTTAATCAACGTATAGACAATGTAGAACACCCTAAACCTCAGCTCTCCATTATCTCCATTAGCCAATCTCAACTCAACAGCAGTCCCCATCTCCTCGAACAGATTTGTGGCGCAGGCTGGTACCCATCAAGAAGAAGACGGAGAGACGCGAAGCGACCCGTGAACTGAAGGCAGCTGCGCTGCTGCCATGAACACAGAGAGCCCACAGAGCCCTCACCAATTTTGAAGTTCGATCGATCTGAGAGCATTGTGTGGTTGTGCTGGTTGGACTGGGAGAAAATTGGCCAGGCCGAGGCAGCTGCTAAAGTGGACTTGGCCATAGAAAGGGAGCTCTTGGAGCGACTGAAGCAGGCGGAAGGGAAGCGAAGGGAAGCGAAGGGAAGCGAAGGGAAAGGGGTCCAGGAAAGAGTTTACGTGATCACGAGAGTGACAGGGCACCTACGGTGACGTCTACAACTTTCCCAAGAAGCAGTTGCATGCCCAGAGACGGAGCAGAAACAAGTACCTAGCTGTTCTAGATTGGGTTCGGCTGGTGTAATTTCAGGTTCGACAGCATCATGGAGAAGGATGGAGAAGTCGAGAAGGAGCGTTTTGTCTCTTGCGCCGTGGTTTTCCGGCTCAGTAGGAGCAGTACATGTGCGCTACACCCGCGTGGCTTCTTGCTCACCTTTCAGCATGAAGATGTTTTTGGTCTTTCGTGACTCTGGAGGAGCTGCAGGAGGGTGCTGAAAGCGACATGGAGTTTGTGGAGGAGTGTGGGCTTCCTCACTTCATTCGGGAAGCTCCGTGTCGAAGCAGCCAAAGCATGCAGCCAGGATTTTGGGGAAGACGAGGAGGAGGAGTGGGAGGACCTGGATGACAAGGTGCTTAGATGGCTTCTGATGGCTTCATGTTGCTTTGGCTCATCTATCCATGGACGTCATGAGCAGATGTCAGGTAGAAGAGGTGGAGCTCGAGGATGACTTGGGCATGGCTGACATGGAGGACTCCTTTGATCAAGCGCTTCCTCTTCTTCTTCTGAAGTCTTGCAAAGATCTTTGATGCTCAGCCACAAGAAGAAACTCTTGTCGCGCCAGTCAAGATTTCAATTGCCGTGGTCAAGCATGAATCAAAAAGTTTTCAAGAGCTATGGGTGTCATATGGTGTAATCTGCAGGATGTGGCTCTGCCGGCACGAAAGAAGAGGCCTGGGTTCGGCTTGAGGTGACGGGAGAGAGAACAGAGGAGCGCAGTGCTTGCAGGAGAGCCAAAGGCCCACGAGTGGAGCTGGAGTACGAGGAGGAGATGGACGCAAGGAGCGATGTTTCTCTGCGCAATCTGAGCACTTCTGTCATCTGGGTTGCTGCGCATGGTCATTGCAGCAGCTTTGCTCCTGCTCTGAAAGAATCTTGAGCCGATTTGGAGCTCGGAGAGTTCGGGGCTGGAGCCGTCTCCAGATATTGCAGGTAGCGTGCTCTTCTCCCCAGTCCTGAGCAGACAATAAGTCCGGAGCTGAGTTTCTGGTTTTTGCTGGCCCATGTGGTGCCGCCGCATGCATGGATAGGCCTCGAGTGACTTCGGCTCAGCTCAGTCTCACCTCAAGACCTGCCAGCATCCGCCGGCAAAGTGCGAGAAAACTGCAGCCACCAACGGACTGAACTCGGCTCAGCAGCTCAGCATCTCTCGAGCTTTGCTCATCCGCCGCGCCGCTGCGACAGTTTAGGTTCTTGCTGTCATTCTCAGTTTCAGCGCCAAAGTTCTTATTCTAGTCGTTCGTCTGAAGTTGGCGAGACGGGGCGAGAGATCGGTTCCTGGTCTAGTCACTGCGAGAGGTGTCTAGTCACTGCGAGAGGTGTCCGCACATGGCTTGTTTTTCTGCTACATCAAGATATGCCAGCTGTCCAGGGTTCCAGATTCACAGTGTGGTCACAGTGTAACCGCTGCGATGCTGCGGCTTCTGGCAGTTTGTGCTGCTCTTTATGCGGCGGCGGGAGCAGCGGATGGCCTGGTGAAGTATCGGCTGATTTGCGACGGCGCCAGCAATGGCATGCATACCTAGGACTACAACATAGTCAACATCGACAACGCCACATTTCCGTTGCCACTTGGCAGCAGAGGCTTGTGGGCTTTCTCGGGCACAGGAGACTGTGCTTGACATCCACTATGTTTTCTGCTCAATGCTTCGCAAAGTTGCTCTCCATGTTGCTCGAGGTGTCTGAAACCAGACAGAGAGACAATGATCATAATGGCCTGAGCGAGCCCTCAGTGATACCAGTGCATTGACACGCCAGAGGTTGGTGGGGCGCACTCTGCCGGCGTTCGTTCGATTCGACCGGGCACGCGCCCCAGAGAGAGGCCAGCAGCCGAGGCACGGAGAGCGGGAGAACATTTCGAATTTCGGAAGCCCTTCTCGCTTGGTGGGGTGCAGGAGTATGCCTTTGGTGAGAAAGCCGATGCCTTCAAGTCGCATCTTGGCTGCAGAACTCGGCGAGCTTTAGGCCCCTAAGCCCAAGCAGCTTGGGCTCAAAAGATGAAAAGCGCAAGGTCACAGGAGCTTGATGAATCTTGATGAGACGCCGCGCTGTGTTCGGAACCCTGTGAAGGATGGCCTCTGTGGTCGCCAGGAGCGGGAGGCAAAGGAAGAGGGAACCTTTAAAAAACAGTCAGAGCGGCTGCACAACGGGAGTTTCAAAGACTTTATTGGGGGTACCTCTCGCCTTGCTCTCCTTATCTCTCCTTGCCTTGCGCCCAGCAGCACGATGATTGCCTCGGTGGGCATCTCGACCCACGGCGAGAAGCAGAACCAAGACATGGCACCTCGCTTCCATGAGCCTCAATCTGCTTCAATGTTTCTACATCTATATTTCATTATATTATATTGTATTATATTATATTATATTATATTCTATTATATTATATATATGTATATATATATATATATTGTATGTATGTATGGTTCAGCGTCGAGCGTCCTGGGCCCCCCCCCCCCCCCCCAATGGTATCCCCCCCCCCCCCCCCCCAAGTCTACTCTACGGTCCCTAAACCCCTAAACCCTAAACCCTAAACCCTAAAACCTAAACCCTAACCCTAAACCCTAAACCTTAAGTCTTAAACCTTAAACCCTAAACCGTAAAACCCTGAACCCTAAACCCTAACCCTAAAACCAACCCCCAACCACACCACAGGGGGGGGGGGGTATCATCTTAGTACCTCATCCGCGGGGAAAACCCTAAACCCTAAACCCTAAACCCTAAACCCTAAACCCTAAAACCCTAAAACCCTAAAACTCTAAAACCCTAAAACCCTAAAACCCTAAACCCTAAACCCTAAACCCTAGGGGGGGGGGGGGGGCGGGCCCGCCGGGGCCGAATCATGTATACAATTTTTATATACATACTATGCCACGCTGACGCTAGTATTCGTGATTGTAGTTATACCAATATACATCCCGTGATGCTGTCAGGCCTGCCAGTTTCATTTAGTTGAGAGGTTGGGTCGTGACAAATGGCATTTTCACGGAACGCTCGGGATTCTCCGGCGGTAGGGGCACGTAACGACGTTTGGACATAGGAGAGGAGTTTGAAGAGTTATTGTGGGCTGCTTGGTGCCGCAGATGTACATGTTTGCTTTGTCGGCGTGTCACTGCGCGGTGTATCGCAGCCGTTGGACGCTGGCCTTCGGTGCAATGCGTGTTTGCCGTTGCCAGGCAAGACGTTTCGGCTTCATTCCTCAAGGCGCCCCCGATGCTCACGCATTGCTTTGAAGCATGTCGTACTGTTTCATGCAGACAAAGAAGAGCTGGAAAGCAGCGACATGGACAAGCTCTTCCCCAAATTCATGTGCTCCGTGCTGTTGGTCAGCGTGCCGGCTCCTCAGTCGCATGTGGATTTCAATGCGAGGGGCTGGGACAGGTACTTCAAGCCCGGTGATGTGGAAGGCGCAGCATGACACAGCTGGGCATCCCGGAAAGCTTTGCAACGTGCATCCGCGTGCTTCGGTGCGTAGACTCAGACCACGCCTGGTCAGGGCAACTGTACAACGGGAAGGCCACAAAGGCCGGGCGCAAAATCCCATTTGCTTCGCGCTGCTTTGCCTTGCTAAGTGTTTCTCTTTCAGGGATATGAGCATAGCCAAGTATACTCCTGCCTTGAGCAGAGGCAGCCATGCTTAAGTTTCTGGGCATCGAAGAAAGAACCTGCGACGTTCTGACCGGTGCCTTCTGCAGCGACGAGCAGTGACCCAGCATGATTTGTAGGTTTTTGAGAGAGATTTTTTTTTGGGATTTCCTCAAACCCCGAAACTCAACCCCTACCTGAACTTCCTACAGAACCCTGCAAAAGCCCAACAGTACGACACCGGAGAGAGAAAGAAAGAGAGAGAGAGAGAGAGAGGGAGAGAGAGGAAAAACAAGACCAAGAACAAAAAGAGAGAAAATGAAAAGAGAGCAAAAACCCAGAGGAAGAGGCACCTGGAGTCCCTGGCGGGAAAGAGCTCCGAGGAGCTGGGCAAGCTCCTGAAGGCGCGCAGGGGCTGAGGGCGCATACAAACTATTTGTACATTGTATATGTAAAGATACAAGTAGATAAATACCTATCTTTATGTGTATATATATATATATGTAGGTGTGTATATATATATACACATAATGCGGATGTCCAGGGGTTTTGGTTCACTTCTGCTTCGCAGGGCATGCTTTCGGCCTTCAGAGTGCAGTTGCGCGAAGCAGTCGACTTTTTTGAAGTTTTGAGATCAACAGATTTTGGACCAGCCTTCGGATGCGAGAGGAGGATGTTGAGAAGAGTCGGCTTCCAGGAACATGTGGGTTCTTTCCCCCCCCCCCCCCCAGATAGCGAAGAGATGAGGAGAGAGAACCCTGGCCAATCAAGACGATCAAGACGCAAATCAAGTCACAACCGAGCCACACCACAACCCATGAATCATTCCTGACCACTTGGTTCAAGGCGCTCACCAGGAGATCGGGAGAGACTCTGAAGAAGGAGGAACGCAAGGCGAGCTCACCTTAAGCCGGTTAAGCGGGAGGCTGGAATCTCGAATCTCACAGGAGGTGGATGGACAACTGGCGGTCCTCAAGAAGGTCCTGAAGGTGCCAAGTACAGGGTAAGAGTGGTGCAAGATGGCCTTTGCATGGCTTTGCAGCTGTTCGCCTTACCTTCAAGGCGCAGAAGAAGACCAGCAAGAAGTGAGCTGTACAGCCAAAGCTCTCTTCGCTACTGCGGTGGTGGGGAGCTGCTCTTATATACCAAGAACCGTCCGACCCCGGAGACCAAACATGACACCAGGGAATCGGGCCAGGGCTTCGGCGACACTCGGGGCTGGAGCTCTGAAGCAACCATCGTAAACAGTTACATAGGCTACTTTCACCGTTTCTCCTCCTCGACCCAAAGCTACGTAACCGGAACCCTGCAACCCCAAACGGCAAATGTCCCAGACACCCAGGACTCCGAAACATTCGAAAACCACCTCGGCTCAAACTTCGGCCATCGCCATCTCAATGTAGCTACGGGGAAAGCTGCGGATGTTTTGGTGCTTTTGCTTCTTGGCGTTTGGAGTGGAACTGCCGATTCTTGCTCTGCGGTTGTGGCAACAGGTATGAGTATGAGTTTAGGAGATGTCCTGGGAGTATCTGAGCCTGTCTGAGCCTGCGAGGTTCCCTGCAGTCGTCTGCCAGATGCGGGCGATGCAGACTTCCATGACTTCCTTGCGAGCCCTCTGAGCAAGCCTGGAAGCCATCAAGGTTGTCATGAAGGCGCCAAGTCCGTCTCCGAGGCGGCTCGTCGAAGTGAGCGTGAGCAGGGCCCATTTTCAAGAGACCGGGAGTTCACGGGAGCTCGTGGGAGCTCATGGGCATCGAGGCAGTATGTCGCCGGACGGCGGATGATGAAGATCAAGGCCAGCTTACCGGGTTACCGTTCTTGTGGTCATTGTGATGGTACAACACTTCTTTTAGCTCTCAGATCCCAGCTTCTGCTACGCCCAAAGCGAACAGGAAGCGATGGACAGCTACGTGGTCAAAATCGCTGAGGGGGCCGCTGAGCTCTACGTCCCCAAGGTGGGGTGCCCGATACTTTCAGGTCACCTGAGCCTCACAAAACGCGAAGACGAAGACGCAGGTCGATGATATGGAGACCTGGGCGGCAGTGGAGGAGGCTGAGGGGCCTTCTTCACCAAATAGGGGGTTCGTGTTTTTATCTCTTCAGGGTCCCTCAAATGTCAGGAAAGAAGCCGAGGGTGCCGAGCAGACTTTGAGTACTCACCGTCTAGGTCGCGATTGTTCGTTGTGTTTCTGTCAGCCTGCAGTTTTCAAGGCACTTGTCTTTATTGTTTTTGCTTCTCCTTGTTTTTTGGGTCTGCTTATATGCCTAACGCCACGTGATGCCCCGCAACCTCTTCGAAACCGCCGTGAATCCACTCGGCTCCCCGAAGCACCTTCGCAGAGATCATGCCAGGCACGCAAGCTGGCAAGGCGCCTTCTGATGTGAACATCCTGTGAACGTCCTGTGAACATCAGAGCGAGCATGTGTTGTCAGCTTTTTCTGCTGTTGGGCTTCTTGAACTTGGGCTTGTCGGGAGTGTTCCTGCTTCTGTAAATTCTGAAGGCTTGGGATCTCTTCGAGGGCAGAGGGCGGATGTGCTTCAGGCCCATGGTGACAGCAGTTCCAGCGGAGAAGGATAAGCAGGTCTTCCACGAGCGGCCCAGAAGCAAAGTGAAGATCAGCACGCCACTGGACTCTGACGCGGAGGAGGCGAGGTCCGTCGAGTTTGCAAGTCTGAAACTCCGAAACAACCACGAATGGGACAAAGAAGACATCGACAGAACGAAGCTGTAAGAGAAGACATCACAAAAAATGCGCACTTAATTGTCAAGCATGCGGTTCGAGAAGCCTTTAGCGGGACAAGTATATGCTCAGAAGAGAGAGAGAGAGAGAGAGACGGACAGACAGATGGACACAGAGAAGCTACCATAAAGCGTGAATCGGCTTGGCAACGAGGCACAAGAGTCTAAGAGAGTCTAAGAGTAGGTGGATCGCAACAGGGCGAGGAGGTCACGGAGTCTCGGCAGGCTAGGGACAGGTTGCGGGGGTTGCTCTTGATTCAAGCCTCAAAGCAGAAAGAGAGAAGCCAAAACAGTACATGCTGTGGGGGAATCAACCGAGCCCAGCCTGTTCCGGTTTCTGGCGGTCAAAGTGTGCTCTAGTTTGTTGTGCATTGCATGTTTGCCCTAGCTGCCGATGCTAGCTGCTCACAATGGTGGACCACAAGGGGCGGTGGCTCGTTGCGCAGTGAAGCTTGGGTAGGCTGGTGGGAGTAGCCAACAAACGAGCGCAAAGGGCGGTCCCCAACCACGCAGTGGGTCGCAGGGATCCCAGGCCCCAAAGTCCCCCCAAAGGGTACAGGCACTAGAGGCTTTCTTCCTTTACCCTCGGCGCAATGGCTGTAAATTCCACTGACCCGAAGCTTGACCCATCCTGAACCACTGAACCACTGAACCACTGAACCACTGAACCACTGAACCACTGAACCACTGAACCACTGAACCACTGAACCATTCCAAGTTATTTCAACACCTAGAGCGTGACCAGCGGTGCCCCAGCAATGCCCGGCAGGAAGAGTCGCTATCGACGCCGGACAGTTCGGAGGGCTCCGACTCCAGCGAGCCCGCGGCTGCAGGGCGGGGACCTTCTTGCTTGGTTCCCACTTTTTTGACTGGTGCTTAGGAAGAGGCATAGGAGAAGACAGTGCAAACATGGAACAAGGTGGGAGAAAAAGCAGGATGAAGAGGTACGGGTGTGGCTCTTGTTCCTGGCTACTGCTTTCGACCTGTGGGTATCAAAAGCTTTGCAGGCGATGGAGCAGTGGACTCTAGAGACCGCAGCAGAGTCCTTCCAGGAGCTTGGTTTTGAACTCAAGGGCTGCTGGTGTTGGGACCGCGATGTCCGAAGCTTGCAGAGGCTTGCTGCTCTTCGTGATTCGTGATTCGTTTGAGGAGCTTCTGAACTCCTTCAAGTTTGACCAGCGGGTGGCTTGCCTGGCTTGCCTGGCTTGCCAAAGCTGAGCAGATGGTGATCCTGGATCCTTCGCATCCACGCTTGCGGTTTCCGCCGACATGTTGAGGTCGACACCCTGGAAGAGCTTCAGAAGGGCTTCTCAAGACGTGTGGAAAGTAACGAGAAGCTGAACACGGAGATGGATGCTTTGGAGGTCCTCCTGCGACAGGCCCTCCCCCCGACCGTTTTGCAACGCAACTCCGTCTGTACCTTCAAACACGGAAGCACTGCGACCAGGACTGGGTTCAGTTGGAACAGGAAGTCGCCGATTCACGTGTCTTCTTGGAGCAGCACGAGCTGCAGATGTTCCAGGTGGGTGTGCGAACCTGCCCAAGCCTGCCCTATCGCGGCTCTCACAGCGCTCTCACACGTGGTGCGACAAAAACACATTGACATGCAGGCGCTGCAGCGGTACTTCCGGTGCTTAGACAAGTACGTATCTGCCCCTGGATCCCGACAAAAGGCCCTGCAGGAGTGGGAGATTATTATGGCTCTTGCTGACTTTTCGTCGTTGTTGCCATTCGACTGGGAGCTGTGTTTGCGATATGATCGATGTTTTTCTCTGTTCTGCAAGGAGCTGCGCGAGAGCATCCGGAGCACTGGTGGTCAGTTGAGTTCCCTCGGCCAGCCGTCGGATGTCCTCGAGGTTGTCCAATCCATGTGCCTCGCCGGACAAGCTTTTCCACCTGTGTTGTGACGGTGTGGGCCCAGTGTGTTGCAGGAACCCTGCGGGCATCTCAAATCTAACCTTGGCTCTTAAACATCTTCAGCACAGCCAACTCTCAACACCTCTTGTGGATGTCAGGGTGGACGAAATCAAGCATCTCCGCCATGTCCTGGACTTGGAATCGAATCGCCACGACGCTTACGACCCTTGAACTGCAATGGGCCATGGCAAACATAGATCGGTTTGCGAGATGTTGAGCAGCGTCTTGGGTTGCAGCCCTCACTCGTCGCCTTTGCGCATGTTTCAAGTTTGACACGTGCTTGGTAGACATTCAACAATCAAGCATTGAAGATTCTCGCGAACTCGTGCTAGGAATCAAGCATTATAAATTAATGCAAGTACCAACTATATACATCTGATCTGATATGTATATACAGCCTCAGGATCACGCGCTGAAGAAGATGAGCCTGGCAGCCCTGGTCGGCGATGACTCCGTGCTGCAGGATCCAGCTTCCAAGCTCGAACAGTCCATACGCCGAGGTTGATTTGGAGCCGATCCTCTAGAGACCACTAGTCTGCGATAGTCTGCACCTGGGCGAACAGGCGAGGAAAAGGATAAAGTGTTTGAGAGCGACGGATGCTGAGACACGTCCTCCCTAAACATTCCCAAGCTCAGAAAAGCTCTATAATTAAACCGACTGAACATAGCCCCAGCTCCCCACTTAGAAGGCGGCTTATTGAGAGATCATATCGCTTAAGGTCACAGCGCAGGTCGTGAAGGAAATCCGCAGGCCGGTACCTGGGACCATCCCCCGCATTGCAGGAAGTTTGAGTGCCGACTCGATGGTGTCTCTGGCATTCTTCTGCCATTCCCTTTAAGTCACTTGAGGCTTCTTTGGTAGGATGTTCTCCCCTTGCGGGCTTCAGGTGGGAGATCGATGGCGGTATCGAAGAGTGGGTCGCCCAACAAACCGCAGCACTGGGCAAGAACGAGTGGCCTGGCCTTCGTTTTTTCCTGGGGTGTAGTGCAGTGATCGAAAGTTGTAATTGTAAACGATTGGGGGGGGGGGGGGGGGGGGGGTTTTTTGAGGCACTCCCCTGTAGAAGCCACCAACAAACAACACCCTCCACGGCATCGGTTTGCAGCTCCTCCAGGGGATTGGGGGGGGTCCCACAGGGCGGGGGGGGGGGGGGGTGGCGTCAGAAAATTTGGTGTGGGGGGAAGGGTGGGTTAGGGGGAAGGAGGCCCGATCCGGGTCTGCTTGTTCCAGACGCTTCTCGGCAGGAAGCCGAGGCGAATTAGGGTTCAACAGCTGCCTGTATAGCTATGCCTGTGCGTGCAAAATCAAAATGGTACGCCAATGCAGTTATTGGTGTGAGACATTTGGACGCGACGCACTTTAAGCGTGGCGATGCAACAAGGGTTCTTCGCAGTTCGGCGTTTTAGCTTCGCCATTTGCAGCGATGAGACGGGTATTTGGGTTGGTCCGAAGGCCCCGCTATGCATGCTCCCTGCGACTGTGATCACTTTCGAGATGCGCCATCCAGAGACGCCCAGTCACCAGGTACGCGGCCCGAGTCACGCGCGTGAAGGCCGAGATCGAGGAGCTCAAGCGGCGCTTGGAACGATACAACAACAGGAAGCAGCGAAAGCGGGAGACTCTCCCTGATACTCGGCATGTCCAGCTTTGTCCTTCTGTATTCAACGCTTTTGATGTGTAATCAAGGGGCTTAGGCGGCTTAAGGGTCCGTGAAAGGCGGCCGGGGGAGTCCAAGGGAGTTTAGGGCAGTGAGCGCTTGGATCTCCAAGCCCAACAATCTGAAACCCGTCGAGCCCAGGACAAAGCAGGCGAGACAGCAGATGAGTGGCAGCCTGCCACCTTCCAGAACGTCGCACTTTTCGACGACTCCGTGGAATGTGGGGCGCATACGAGGGTGGATCTCAAGGGCATGATGTGCCATTGATGTGGGGTGCTCTGAGGGAAGTTCCAGCGCGAGCTCGAGGAGATCCGTAAAGCCCAGAAGAAGCACGAGGAGCACCTAGCCAAGTTCGAAGGCCTCACCAGCCTTATCCGCTATCAGGAACCAGCTCCTCGGTACCCACAAGAGGCCTTTCAAAAGCATGAAAAAAGGCAAACTCAGTTCGGGCGCAAGCCGAGGATCTGGACGAGAGCTTCAACAAAATCATGGAGGTGACATCGACCTTAGCTGAAGAATGTGCTAGTGCCCTCTTATAGGTTGTGTTTACAGACAGGGCTCCTTTAAACCAAAGGGGCCACAAACCCTAAGCTTCCTAAACCCAAAAGCCCGAGTTGATACCCGTTAGAAGCACCCTGCGTCGAGGAGAGCCACGATGTTGCGGCTCACTCGGCGTATCGGCGGCTGCCCACGCCGCACTGCCGAGGACACTCCCGCCCTCGAGGGCCCAGGAAGGAAAAAAAAAGGGATTTGTGAGCAGAGGTCTTTGTAGGTCTTCGAGGGTTTTAGGGTCTGGGGGTTTTCGCGTCAAGTTTGAGAGGGCTTCTTTCTTCTTGCTTTCCCCCGGGGGGGGGGGGGGGGGCACTTGTGCCGCCTCTTGGGCCTTCAGTGCAGGAGCAGGAGGTAGAGAACTTCATGCTGATCAGGCGGGCCTTGCCAGGTTGGATGTTGACAGAGTCAAAGGACTCTTGAGAGGTGCTCTCACTTTGAGCGCTTCTCCGCTGAGGCAAGCAGCAGGTGAGGAGGACGAGCGGGAGCACCGGGACAACCTGAAGCGAAGCTGAGTTGAATTTGCTGAAGCTGGGTTTCAGTTGACCCTGCAATGCGCTCGCGCATCACGTGGTTCTGCTGCCAAGGACTGCAGTCTGAGAAAGAGCTCATGCAGAAGCAAGCTGATGAGCAGGCCTCATATATACATATATATATATACATATGTATTTGCATATTTATTCTAAGTGCACACATATGCATATAGAGTATATGCCTACAGGCAGGGAGGGAGGGAGAGAGAGAGAGAGAGAGACGGGACTATGACGTGTTGTTTGTCGTGGAGGCGGGTGGGGGCAGGTGGGGAAGTTTTCACTCCAACCAAACTTTGGACATCGCGCGCCCCTGGGGGCGGCCCTCGGGGGGGGGGCCATGCGTGCGAGAGAGAGAGAGAGAGAGAGAGAGAGAGACGGGACTACGTACCTGTGTCTTGCGGTATTGTAAGGCGCATTGGGCGCGCAAAGTGTACGGCAGAGCCGGTGCAGCAGTTGGGGTCGGTGGTTTCTGCCCCGAGGAGCAGAAGCAGATGCAAGTGCAGCGAGCCATTCGCCACGAGCAGCGCCTTCAAGACAGCCTTCAAGCCGAGATCCTCGGCCTAAGACGAGGCGATAGAAACAAGAAACAAGAAATCAGTTTAGGCCGCTGACCACGGTAGCCTAGTACAGATTCTTTCGGCCTGCTGTCACTGCCGTCCACTCAAGCTCAAGGATTGACGAGGCCAAAGCCATGATCGAATCCCTGGAAGACAACGTCAACCTCGTCGTGGCCCGGGAGACGATGCGGCAAGCTGAGGACGCGAGGCAGAGACTTTTCATCCGATATTTGCCTTGGATTATACAGATTACTGAACACTGCTGCGCAGAGAAGAGTTAAATTTGTTTGCGAAAACTTCATGTCATGACATCTCAGAGAATCTCGGATTGCTTCTGCAGGTCGGCCAATGCAGTCCCTTGGCTCGGCTTCGGGTGATGGTGAACAAGATCTGCATTTTTCTTGCTGCACCTGTTTCTTGCAGAGCACAATTAAGGAGAAGGAGAATGTGCTGCTGGAGCAGTCCAAAGCTCGTGAGCAGAAGGAAGCACAGCTGGCACAGGCATCCAGTCTCCTCGAAGAAGCGAAGGCCTCCAAGAATCTTCAAGAGTTCTGCACACCCCACTTCTGGGAGCAAACCTCAATCAGTGTTGACGAGTGGCTGCGCGGGTTTTTGGCATCATGCGACTTGAGACACAATGCTTGCATGTTTGGGGCTAGCAGCTAACAAGGCACTGACGCGGCAGCTACTGCGGCAGCGGGCCACAGATCTCGAGGCAGAAAGAGACGGACTCAGTTGACTGTAGTCTACAGAATCGCAAGTTGTGCCAGCACTCGCATGCTTGCCATAAAGATCTTAAAATATCTTAACGAACACAAGAATGAAAGAAATAAGCCCAGTATGGCCCGTGCTCAGAGCGACTCGGAGCCCTCTGCGGACGAGCTCCACGACGACCTGTCAAATGTGTCCTCCGCCACCTCGCGATCCTCGCGGGGCTCGGAAATGGGCAGGCGGAGCTTGACATTCTGACATTGCTTCAACTAGCTTCCTTTTCTGCAGAGCGTTTAACATCGTTTAACGGAGTTTACGGGCTTCTTGTTGGCGCGTATACGAAGATGACAGGAGAAGCTCCGCGGTGACCTTGCAGGTGCTTGAGCGGCTCCAGGAGGCCTCCAACTCCAAAGAGGCACCCAGAAATTTGGGGAAATCGCCCACATCCCAGACATCCTCATCTCCAACGTCTCCAACTCCGAGATCTTTGGCCTTCGACCTGAGGACGCAGACACCGCAAAGAGGGGACAAGAACGCTCAGAGTCCGAGCGGCCCGAGCGGCCCGAGCGCGGCCCGATCGAAGCCCGACATCGATGTGGCGCGAGCCCGCAGGCAGTCAATAAGCAAAGGTGCTGCGGCCATGGCAAACATCTTAGGGCGAGCAGATGAGACGCCAAGCCACAGCAACTCCATGCGGGGAGGAGATATGCCTGCATTCGACAATTCCCCTGTGCACTCGTCACCTTCCATTCAGACCTCGAGATCTGGGCGACGGATTAGCACGCTCAATGCATTTGGAATGGCTGCGCGAAGGGCTTCTGCGACGTCTGGAGACACGGAGCTGGGCCGTCGACTGTTTGGGCAGCGCGCATCTCTGCTGGCAGTTGGTGGCTTCATGAATCCAATGAAGGCCAGTGACACCAGTCACCCCACATTCCCCACATCCAACTCAGAGTGGGCGGAGGACTCGCCAGAATCTAGCAAGGACTCTCCCAAGCAATCAACATCCTGGCGAGGAGACTCCAGCCAACCACTCGAGACAGTTCAGCGGAAGGAACGTCGCAGGATGACCATGTTTAATTCCTTGAGTGCTGCTGCAAAGGCGCAAGCGAAAGATGCCAAAGGTCGCGCTGGAGGTGATGCGGAGTTGGAATTAGGTGTCAGCAACTCATTTCGGGCGTCGCCATCGGGTGAAGACCTTGACCCGCCCCTAGAATCCTCCCAGTCACTTCGGACTTCGAAATCTGGGCGACGGAGCAGCGCACTCAACACATTTGCAATGGCTGCACGAAGGGCTTCTGCGACGTCTGGAGACACGGAGCTGGGCCGTCGACTATCCGGGCAGCGTGCATCTCTGCTGGCAGTGAGCGGCTTCATGAAGGCCAGCGATTCCAAATCCAAGCCAGACTGGGGGGCAGAGGATTCGCCAGAATCTAGCAAGGACTCTCCGATGCGTTCAAAGTCCTTGAAAGGAGACTCCAGCCAACTTGGCCAACCACTCGAGATAGTTCAGCGGAAGGAACGTCGAAGGATGACCATGTTTCATGCCTTGAGTGCTGCTGCAAAGGCGCAAGCGAAAGCTCGTTCTGGAGGCGATGCGGAGTTGGATCTGGGTGTCAGCAACTCATTTCGGGCGTCACCGTCGGGTGAAGACCTTGACCCGCCCCTAGAATCCTCCCAGTCACTTCGGACTTCGAAATCTGGGCGACGGAGCAGCGCGCTGGAAACATTTGGCAAGCGCGCCTCCCTGTTGGCAGTGGACAGTTTCATGAAGGCACGGGCCCACAGATCGCCTTCGCCTGCTGAGATTCCGGAAGTTCCCAGGAGTTCGAGGTCTCTGCGGGAAGCCCTTGGCTAGATTCCGCTCAAGGGGGCGGCTCCTAAGAACGGCGTTTCCCTCAAGACTGAAGCGGGGGGAGCTCTTGAGCTCAGCAAAATGTCCCCTCTCACAAAAAACGGGCTCACGCGGGCATCGAGAGTTCTCGGCCTCGCCATGGCCCTCGATCTCGCTAAGACTCCCTCTCCCTCTCTCTTCGTCTCTGTCTCTCTCTCTGTCGCTCTCTAGGCGCAAATCGTCGCATCGAGGCAAATGGACTTGAAACATGGAGTCCTGGCGCAAATCGTTGCATCAAGTCAAATGGACTTTAACATGGAGTCCTGACTTGACTGGCCGCGGCCGAAGAAGCCAAAGACGCTCAAAGGGGCGCGCGCTGAATATGAGAGGTGCTAGAATAACCTGCATTGTGTGCTACATTGGCGCTGGTTTTGTTTTTGCTGGCGATGACCGGTGATTGTCGCTTTGGCGTGCGCCGGCTTTCAGTTGTACAGTACTTGTGGGGCAGATAGATTTGAGCACAGTGCAGCTTCAGCAGATGCCACCATGAACATTCCGAGTTCCTCTTCAGACAACTCGCTTCCTACGTAAACATCCCAATGCTCTCTGTGCTGAGCAGCAACGCCGTTCACCTGAGCGAGGAGCTGTGCAAGCCGGCGTGCTTATTGAAAGATCGTGGAACCCCTTCTCTCTCTCTCTCTCTCTCTCTCTCTGTCTTTGCCTCCATCTGGAGAGGCTTGAATATCTCCAAGTCTTGAGGACTGTGTTTGGGATCGTTGCCAGGCACCGCACCCGTCAAGACCTCGTGGCGTCACGCTGTGAGGCAGCGCAGCTGGTCGGGGCTCCAGTCTTTGAGAGGCAGCGCCAACTTTAATCTATGGAAGCACATCCTCCGCTGTACTCTCATGGAGACCGTCCCCCCCTGAACCCAAACGTAAGCGGCCCGGCCTCCTGCTCGGGGAGTGCCTGCTTTTGTGAAACCTACAAGAAACTCATCGGCAGAGCTTGAGCATGTGTCCAGGCAGCGGCATCTCCCGGATTTGAAAAAGCGTTTGGAGTGCGGAAACTGCGCGCCCGCCGTTTTGCTTCTGTGGGATTTCCCCTTCTTTGGCTTTTGTGTTGCCTTGTTCGCGACACAAGCAACCCTCTTGAATCAAGCACGACGGTTGGCTCATAGGTTGCGCAGCACAAGCCGCTACGTTCCCCTGTGCTAAACCCTGTGGCATGGACAGCGAGGGAGTGCACCACGATGCGAATTTGAGGCTGCGGCCCTCCAGCAGAAGCGGACCTGGGTGACGCAGCATCTGGAGTCCGCATTCAAGGCCGCCCGGGGTGCCCAGAGTCAGGGTGTAGTGTCGCGGCAGATAGCATTCAATGCTGCAGGTGCTCCAGCAGCGAAATGAGCGGCTGCAGAAAAGTCTCGCCTTCCACGGGCTCCTAACAGCTCGGAATTATAGCCAGGCCAGGCCTCATCACAGTCCTTTCAAGTCCTTTCTTTCTGAGGCTTGCTTGTTAAATTTGAGAGGTGTGGCGGCGGCGGGCCACGCCGGTGATCGCCTTGGCAGGGGACGTTCCGCCGTCTCTGTGCAATGTGCTGACAATGTGGCGACATTGTGCCGAATTGAGGCTGAGTCCCCAAGTGGGAGCCCTTGCAGCCCAGGCCGCGCAGGCCGATGTCCTTCCAATATCGACTGCATCTCGACTCTTTACCCTTTGACAACTACTCTAGGCAGGTCGACCGCCTGGCAGTGGCTTTGGCAGAAGAAGGCCGCTGCCTTTGCTGTCGGTTCTGCTTTGCCAAACTTGCCGAACTATGTTAAACTATATGTTGGGTTACCATGAGCCAAGCGCCCATGTTCAAGAGAATGGAGGTCCGTTGAACCATGGACAGACATGGCGCAGTATTGGGAACCATGTGTCACCATGACTGTAAAATGCTGGCACCACGAAAGGATAGAAGTGGGTGATGTCCAGTGCTGATGTGCATGGAGGTCTTCGGCCTGTGGCGCCGCGGTGCGGAGGTTTCGCGGCGTGAGCGGCACAGCGAAGAGCACCGTGCTGAGCAGGCGGCCAAGTCGGGGCAATCATCACCGCAGATGCCCTAACTTGAAGTACTTGCCGTGGTAAACCCGAATGTTGATAACTGCATTGGCTTAATTTCACTACTACGAGTGCGATATTGTACCAACGTCCTTATTTAAGGAAGCCCATGCCACCAAAGGATTACAACAATTAACCAAGAGCAATGGAGAAGTGTTGATTTTGATGCAGTTTGACACACTAGTCCGAGATGTGTAGTCAAGTGTGTTGGTGTGTAGTGTCTTCCTGTTCGCTAATCTTAGCTGATCGTAGACCTGTGAGAGCTGTGAAATAGACAGGCGTTTCCCGGGGTAAGATAGGACTAAACAGGCTGCAGCAGTAGTGCAGTGACGCTGCCCCTGTGTCCAGATGAACTACCGATGGGAACGAGGCTCTTTTAACAGGCATGAAGCCCTTTTCAAGATCCTTTTCAAGATTCAGCCTGAAGCCGAACAGCATCCTGTTGACAAAATCTTGTTTCTGCAGGCCGCGGCCATGTTGGTTCAGGCTCCCTTGCGTCACCCTCCCAGAATGTGAGGCTGAGACAAATCGGAGGCCTCAGGTTCCAGGAGTTCGAGGCCGGGGGGAGGCAACCGAAAAAAATCAGGCAAAACAGCTCTCTCTCTCTCTCTCTCTCTCTCTCTCTCCTTGCCCTGTATTTGACTCCTGAAAGGCCAGCGATGGCAGCGGCAATCGCGGCTGCAGCAGCTTGTCTCATCACTGCACATGCAACAGGGCAAAGTCGTGGAGTTGCGCAGGCTTTCCTCGGCCCCCTATTCCAGGTTCGCCGCCGCGATGCGGTCGCGGCAGCGGAGAACGATTCGCCCAAGTCGTTCAAGTCGGAGATCTCCTTGCCAAGATCCCCGACCCTCAAGAAGTCGCGATCCCAGGCCTTTCCGACCATCAGTTCAATTTGCGCAGGTTTGTGCGTAAGCTCAAGTCCAGCAAGGAGTTGCGTGCTCCTTCTAAATGAGAGAAGTACTTCCTGTCGGCCTAAACCTTCAAGCCCACCTCTTAAAGCTTAGAGTCCTAAAGGCCCTGAACGGCCACTGTGCGGGGAGATTTGGGAGAGGCAGCGCTGGACCTTCCACCGCCTGGCACCGGCTACTGGGCTAGTGGAGTCAAGGGCAGTGGAGGATGCTGGGCTACAGGGTTTAGGGACCACCTTCAGCAGTATCTCTCACATTGAAAACACTTGTTCTGGACAAATTGTCAAATTCTTCATGGAACATCCGGCTTTTGCCGGTCCTGGAGGCTTCTGGAGATACCAGCGGTCATCTGCCGTGGCGTGCTCCAGGGCTCTACGACCTTACGAGTCTACGACTCTACAGCTGTGGGAAATGGTCAAAATTTTCTGAGCCCAAGCCCCGAACCTTCCTTGTGTGTACTCTACTGTAAACGGGCGACAGGTAAGCATGGAGGTTCGCGGACATATTGGCGTTTAGAGAGGGAGATGGGTTGGATCATGATTGTGACGATTGTAAGGGTATCAGCCGCTGGGCTCCAAGAGCAGGGGCAAAGCAAAGAGGCAGCAGCTGGGGATAAAGGGAGGGGGCGCCAAGCATGCCGCGCTCGGGCTTCACAAAATGTCGTGAACACCCCAGCCCCGAGCCTGGCTCCTCCCCTTCCCGGCCTGGCTCAATGAGCAGAGCGGCAAAACTTTTCACTGTCTCACGGGGGTCGGCGGATCATCATGTTGAATCTGTTGGCGCTCCAGGTACACTGGCATGCGAGTCCAGCTATCCGTAGCAGCGCTTATTGCTGGGAACTTTCTCATGAATGTCATCGAGCTTCTCGGCACAAATGCGTGAAACCTGTACAAGTGCATGCTGTCTTCTTCACTCGCTTCTCTGTCCACCCTTGGATTCAAATCCCTCGGCGTTTGCCCAAGTGTCAAGGAAATGGATAGACCCCGATGGCGACATTTATCCGGACATCTGGGCCCCTCGTCGGGGTCGGTGGGGTTCAGGGAGGTCGAGAGATCAACGTGCTAAGAACTTTCTGAGGGCCCTAGCTCAATCGCAAACGCTTATGCGATCTAAGCTTTTGCCGGAGCCAACCTCAAGCGACAAATTCTTCTTGCAGATCCCTAAACATCAGCCCAGGATGACCTAGAGTAATTATATGGGCTCCTCTCTGAAGGCATCCTACCCCAGACTTCATCTGCGTCCCTGAGCGATGCCAGTATCTACCAAATAGCAGACCCGAAGCATTGAAGCGAATCACAAGGTGGGCGCCGACATCTTTTTCAACGCGCCTGAGCTGAGAAGTCTGTTTGTCGTCGATGGGTCCGCCTGCAATGGCCGAGTCAGCTTCAGAATGTGCTGAAGCATGCTGAAGCCTTTCGCGTCTGACGGCAGGTGAGCTTTGCCATCGAGCTCGTTTGGAACATGTACTCTTTCTGGCTGTGTCGCTTCTGGAAGCTCGGCTTTACACCTGGACTCCTGTTTTCAGCAAAAGTGTCTTTCAGCTTTGGTTCTGACGCTTGTGGGGCATTCACCAGAAAGGGCGTAGACCTCTTCTTCTTAGCTATCGCAACAGGGCAAACGTTGCTTGCAGATGCGCCCTCGCTGCTTTCGATGGTTTTGTTCCAAATGCGCCCTTGTATGTGAACTTCCTCCTGCGAACTTGTCACCAGCAAATGCCACATCAACATTAAGCCGTACCGAGCCTCGGACCATGACTCGTGACTGACTAATGTTACTATTGAAGTGGACATGTCGCGGATGTCCTGCATTGTTGCCCTTTTCGCATCCTTTTGCTCAGCTCTCTCGCTACAAATTTGAACTGCAGCTTTGGCTTTCTCGCCCCCCGAATTCCCTCGTCTCCTTCCTCCTCCTCGGCTACCTTTAGTGAACTAGTTTCTACCCACCCCACCGTGCACAAACCTCAAACTATCAGTGGTGTTCCTTGCAGATCCGCACGCGCTAGCCGGTCAAGCATAGTCTTTGGGTGGTTGGAAGTTAGAAAAACGGAGAAGTGAAAGAAGTAGCAGATGCAAGTTATTTGACCGGAATGTCATGATCGGCGTTTCGTGTTCTTCTTGTCATGCGGTACAGTGGATTCCACATCAAATACAAGAAGGTATCGTTGGTCAACCGCCTTTCATTTGGCACTTCCAAGCCTCTTAAGCTCGTATGGGGCCCTGATGCGATGACTGTCCAAGGAAGTCAGCCTGGAATGTCTTTGACGTGATCGTTGTGACCATCGGACCGGAACGCAGAGTAGGGCTTTTGGGCGGAACCAGGGATTTTGAGAGCTTCAGCGAGGACTGATGAACTTGGCGGTCTCGGACCTGCCTGGGCCTCTAAGCCTGCTCCGCCCGCGTCCCAGAGCAGAGAGTCGCGCGGCCCTTCCGTACAGTGGTATGATGGACATTAGTACTTTCAAAAAGCACTATATTGCCACATGGTTGTATTTTCACATGGAAGCCATCGATTTTGTTGTTTTGGTTTCTGCACGGTGCGGCATTGCTGTGTCTCAAGGCATGATGCGGGTCCCTGGGCTGCAAGGAAGACAAGTGCTCTTCCCCTCACCTCGTTTCCTCGCGCTGTTCCTGTCTCTTCTGCCTATATAAGTGGATTCAAGCGCCGGCGCCTGTGCGGCTGAGGCCTTCAGAGTCTTCCGGCTCTTCAAGCGCGTGGAGCCGGCTCCTTGGGGACCCATACGGGGCGCTTGCTCTGCTGTGTCTCGAGGGTCCCGGCGTGTTGCGCCTCATGACTCATGAGTCTCATGAGTGATCCAGAGCTGGGCATTGCCCCTCAAGCTGCTGTTTGAGGTCGCTGCACAAGATCATGAAGTCCCTTTCGAAGGCTGTGCCTGGAGTCTCCAATGCGTCCCATGGCCAACACTGACGAGGGGCGAGCACAGGAGAACACACGGGAGTGCTCCCTTTTTTTGTGTAGGGCAATATGTTGTGACACATTGCCGTATTCAAGTACCAGTAGCAGGTTGGAGTATTTACAGCGCATTTAGCTAGTCTATGACGCCAATTATATATATATATATATACATATATAAACTGGCATCTTCACAGTGCAAACTAGTATAGTAACATAAAGTACGTTCTGCAGAGCAGATCATAAGTGTGAGCCCTCTGGCGGCCCTGAGGTGCTTAATCCTCCTCCTCGTGATGTCCATCTATGCGATATTAGGCAAAGGATGCAAAGAGTTGATGCCTTAGGTCTTAGGTTGCTTTTTTTGTTTGTATGTGACACTGTGTCTTTTTGTTGGTGGGGCCCTAAACCCTCAGATCGGTTTCTCGCCAATTCTGTGGTTAGACCCCTAAACCCAACACCCCAAAAGACCTAAGCCCTGAAACCTTCAAGCCTTACGACCCTAAATCCCTTAAACCCTCAACTCTAGAAACGTCTTGGACCCTGAACACCCCTTCGCCCTGCACCCGAAACCCTCAACCCGGAAGGCCCGCGTCCCTAAACCCTGAACCCTGGAGGCCCAGCTGAGCTCTCAAGCCCTGAACGTTTGCGCGCTCTCACGATGCAGTCTGAAGTTTGTGTGTGTGTGTGTGTGTGTTTGCGGATTGGAGGTGTGGAGTTCTTTGGGACCTTTGCCAACGGTGGCAACTACACCAACGAGTGTCCTGAACGATGATGTCGCATGAGCATGGAAGTGCATGACGTGAAGGATGACTAGTTAACTAGTTGATTCCACGCGGAGTGGTTCAGCCTTGCTTAGGTTGGGGCAGGTTGTGGAAATCATCACCGCCAGGGATGCTTGTCTGGAGTTTACTTCGGCTTGGGCTCTTCCAGCACATCACTTGTCTGAGGAGTTGCCGTTTGGGGACGAGAACTTCGGTAACTTCCACCGATCCCTCTATACCATGTTCCAGGTCTTGACAGGCAGGGTCCAGGGTCTGACTCTTGAGTCTCCTGAGGCGCTGGGAGGGTGGAACAGTGTGGATCGAACCGAAGGCGAATCGTGGTCGGAGGTGGTCACGAGGCCCATGCTGCACACCACCGACTTCACGCAGGCAAGGAGACAACGCATCTCTCTGAGCCTGGGAAATGCGTTAGGGCTTCATGTGTGAGACAGGCCGCGGGCAGCTCGGCAGTTTGCAGGAAAGGCAAAATTGAGGAGGGAGAAGTGTTGTCACAGCTTGGTCCTATTTTTAGGAGGGGCGATGTGTCCCTTCTCTCGGATGGGCCGGGCGGTCCCCGAGCGTGGCTTAGCAGCTAAGGCACTTCCTTGTTCTTCGTCTCCTTCTATCTGGTGAATGGTTCCATGGCCTGTCTTGTAAGAATTCAAGAATTCAAGCTGACAGAGACTTTAAACAAACGGACTTGGCATTCTTTCGAACAGTTTTGAAGGGCTCTTTCGCTCCGAGGTGTGGTGCTCATCAACGTTGTGATCGCAGTGTTGCTGGAGAAAATGGTGGACGACGAGGTGTGGGGCGATGGGAGCCTGAGCGCAGCAGAGTCTGAGTCCAGAAAAGCAGCATGCTGCGTCAGAAGCACGAGCCAAGCGAAGAGCCGGAGGCAGGGAGTCCCAAGAGTCAAGACCACTTTCGTCAAAACCCCCCGTTTAGTTTCTCTCATCTGCCATGGCCGCAAGGCATCTGCAACGGTTTCTGAAGCCGAGACAGAGAACAGGTTTCACGTGAGCCTTCAAAGTCACTTTCCTGCACCCGCATGTGCCGACCATGCCTCTCTTGTTCATCAGCGGATAGAAGTTTGAGAGCTGTTACAAGTTTTAGCAGAAAATAAGAGGAGGAAATACCCACAGAAATACCTGGCACTCCTCTGAGCCTCATGAGCAAAGGTGCGCATGTGGATCCCCTCCAGGTCGCGGGCCCAAACCTGCAGGAAAGAAGCCATAAAAACGCCTCTCTCTCGATCTCTGTCCTAGCTCCCAACTGAGGCCAAGAAGCCGTCTCAGCTGCTGGTGCCAGCCGCGATGAAGCCGAAAGCCGTGAACGGAGCCAGCATTCAGCATGTGGTGAATGGAGGCGCGAAGCAGCCGTTTCACTGCGAAGCCTTGGTGGCTCTAGGAACCGCTACGCTACACGTGAGAGGGCATTGGCAAGCATGCTCCCTTCTACCGTACCAGCAGATTCTGGACTGGACGGTGGCTTCTGCTAGTAAAGCGACACCTAAAGAAGGTATTCCCTGCGCGTCTGACCCCCCACTCAATGTGTCAGGTGCAGAGCTGCCGAAAGTGACCGGAAAGGTCCCAACCTGAGCCAAAAAAAGGCCAATTACGTCTTGAAGTTCAAGGTATTCCAGTTCCAGTGTTTCGTGATGCAAGTACTTCGGCATACAGCTTCGCGCCTCTGGGGATTTTGTGGATGTATATATACAGTTACATGTACACACACATATATAAATATGCTACCCCCCCCCCCCAGAAGAATCTACCTTTAAAGGTTTTATCGCGTCGTATATGGTTGAACGATCACGAGATTAATTTCCCAGAATTACATGGTTGAACGATCACGAGATTAACTTCCCAGAATTACATTTTCAGGTCTTATGGCGTTGTGTGTGGTTGAGCTATTGCCATGTCAGATGCCATTTTCATATCTTATATATGGCGTTGCGTGTGGTCGAATTATTGCGATGTCAGACGCATGAATTTTACCTGCGAGCGCGGTTGGTCTGGATTGGATAGAGAATATGGACTACCGAGACGCCATATCCTGTGGGGCGAAGGAAGCCTACGACAAGAACTTTCTCATGACATGGGAGCATAGCTCTCCGCATGCCAGCCACAAGTCCTTACTGCGATTCCAGTATTCATACTGGGCGCTTCGCAGCTTGGCTCTCAGCAAGGAGCTACCGGCTTTCGTGTGCTGATTCACACGCACACGTTCCTTTAGGAATCTCCAACACCGGTCTATGACCTGCGTGCCGGACTTCACTGTGATTGTCTTGTTCTTTGTGCCGGGCAGCTTATGCTTGACGATGCGGACATAGTGGGGCTGCACCCAACGCGTCTTCCCATTGACCTTGACCTGCTTTTTGCAGTGCACCACCCGATCATGAAGAACCCCGTCGAGCTTGAGTTTGTAGCTTTTGGCTGAGTCAGTATGCAAGATAATCTTGCGACCGGACAAAAGCTTGGCACCCATGGTCTTCCACTCGACCTTTCGGATTGCTCCCGGGCCCGGGGCACGCTTTACCGTGATCTTGGGCGTGAGCTTGCACAAGGTCAACGTCTCAGGACAGCCTCGCTGGACTACACCCGCCCATTGCTCCCACATCATTGTGGCCTTTGGGGACTTGATGAGGTGCTTGTACTCCACGTCTTTAGAGATGTCCCGCTTGTCGAACGTTCACAGGTCTTGGGCTCTACTGAGTAAGATGAGGACATCTTGGATGATCTTTCAGGGGGGGGGGGGGGGGGTGGTTCAGAGGTCCTGGGGCCAAACCCCCCCCAACCCCCTCCCCCCCCCTCCCTCCCTCCATCCTGCTTATAAGCAACCCCAGTGCTTACAAGCAACCCAGCTGCTTATAAACAAGACACACACTTAAAAAAAAACTTACACCGCACTCTCAGCATATAGGAGAATGATATAGGAAATCATATCCTACACATACATAAGGACGAAGACCATGACTTAAAAAAGAAAAAGATAACTTAAGCTAAGAAATTAAAATAGAGATATGTTAAACCCCCACCCTCTGGCTGAAAAGAAAAAACAACTCAAGCTAATAGATTAAAGTATAGATATGTTAAACCCCCACCCTCTGGAGGTAGATTCTCCAGGGGGGGGGGTACCATAAATATATATCTCTATGTATACGAATATTGCGGATTGTTGTGCTTTCGGGCTGGCATTGTTTGTGTGGCTAGCCAAGGCCATATAGTAACAATGTTTGCGGAGAGGGTGGAGCAGCAGAGCTGCATGAGTCAATGATGCAATGAATAATTCTGCGGATCTAGCGGCGCAGAGCTGATACGGAAAAGAAAGTCAACATTAGGCGCCAACCCACAAAACCTAAAGGCATCTACACTCGACACCTCAGGACATGAATCCATCGTCCCTTGTACCTTTCAAAGTTAAACTTAAGCCCAGCTGCAGGCCAGTGCGAATCTGAGCATTGCAGCCATGGAAGCAGACTTCCACAGCCTGTGCCTCAGCCACTCGAGAGAGTCATGGACACGGCGTAAACCCAGAAGCAGGAACACGTCAGGAGTGAAGAGGGGGATGCGACATGACATAATTTGACATAATGATACAAGTTGTTTCGTCGAATTCCCCGTGTCGTGCTTGATCCGAAGCCTGCAGGCTTGAGGGCGGACATGAAGCCTGTCTGCAACGAGATATTGACAACTGCCAGTGGCCACGAAACTGACTAAACTACCCAAGCTCCACGAAGTCCTGAAAGGTCCAAGATCCAGTCGCAGATGGAGCTTCTCATGAAGGAGGTTGGACTGTCCATGAAGCCGCTACAGGACACCATGACGCGGCATGAGCATTCCCTGGTGTTTCGGTCGACGGTGAAGCAGAAGTAAGCTGCTCGGGATGTGAGAGCGGCTACGAACGCAGAAGTGCAAGATACCTGTCTCATGTTGCATGCCTGCCGGTCCTGCCAAGCAGAGCCGGCTTCATAGGTTCAGTGGCCTTGCCAGTATGGCAAGACAGTAAGACAACTTGTGCTGCTGCGAGCAGTACGTGCTAACCCCCCCACTGCAAGCACCGCGCATGGATCTCTGTGATATGACATTATGAGTTCATGCAACTGTTGGTGATTCCCACTCAAGTGAAGAGCCGTCCCTCGACAAGACCTCTCTCAAAGGCTTCCCATGAAAACATGAGAACTAATTCCGTCGTGACTGTCCTGACCTTGTCCAGCGGCTGCTTTGCACGTAAATGTACCAGGCTTCGACCCTTTCATAGCTCTCCGAGAGAAAAAGCTCGTTAGAGGGGAGATGGAGAAGGCTGATGGGAGGGATATTGTTTAGCCCTGTGGCGCCGTTCGGTTCGCTGCCAGAGGCTGCCGTTTGATTCGACACATCCTAGGCTTAGATCGACCGAAGACTCATAGAGACGAAGAGCCAAACACCGAACTACTCAGTCTTCAACTGCACACTTAAGAGAAAACATGTTGAACCCTTGAGCCGAGGCTCAACGACCACAAAGCTTCTCTGCTGGAGCTGGAGGTGCCTTCAGAGTCATAGTAGCCTTTTGGGCCCATTCCACACTTCGTACTTGCTCTCGTTTGTCGCGGGCCTTATGACGCGCTTCAGTGGGAGTCGCTGTCCACAGGAATGCGTTGAGCGCTTGCACGGCGGGCCCCTTAGCAGCTCTCAAGAAGCAACGTTGCACGGAGCGCATCTATGAAGCGAGTAGAGGGCGTGATGGCGCGATGCATCTTTCAAGGGAACCATGGTGCCATTTGAAAGTACGGTGCCATGTTGGCTTACAATCTGTTCAGCAAGGCCGGCGCGTGGACATCGATGCACTGCTTCAGGTGGAGCGACATCGGGTACAGGCGCCGAGAATGTCTGAGACATTTCCGGGATCTGAGAATCGAGGGGAGAGTGGACTGGAGAGTGGGACATCAGGAGCTGCAAGCTGAACTCAGCTTGGGCCTCGGATGATGGGTATGGCACGGTTTGACGGTCGCGGGTTCTCTCCATCCTGTAGCCAGGCTTTTGCAAAGAGCAGGTGAAGGAACTCCAGCGGACTCTGAAGGACGAGCCCTGGCCCAGGGCTTGCCAGATGTATCAAGATGTTTTCAAGTAGTATCGGGTAGAGCTCCGTGCAAACCCACTCTGTGCACGTCACAACGCCACAGCTGCAAAGCTGCCACATGCACATCGATCCGGCGCGCTGCAGGAGTCCTACGTTCAGCAGTTCGAGGCTTCGCAGAAGAGAGAGGAGTTCCTCCAGCTTGCTTGCGCAATGTTGCACAATAATTTAACAAGAATACAAGTCCATCTGAGTGACAGACACCGCGAATCAAGACGAATCTCAAGCCTTCAGCACTGCGCCGGGCATGCGTGCCAGGCTCGAAAGCCACTTCAGCAAGCTCGTGGAGGCGACCTTGGGAAGATTTCGGTTTTCGATATCACAGCTGTGCTTTGCTTGAGTTTTTTGTTCCGGCATCCGGGCAGCGTCGTCGGCTGTCCTTGTGACAGGAGCTGCACCGCATGAAAGCTGACAAAGAAGGCAATCCTGCCACAAACCCTGGTCATGAAGCTTGCCAGCCCTGTGTAGCACTGTACCCTGTACCGGAAGTGCTGGACCTGAAGGTCTCGAAGGACAGATCCCTCAGCTGCGGAACGAGCTGAAGGCCGCTGTAATTTTCACCGCATTCAGATGCCGGGGGGGCCACTGGAAGCGGGGTGAGCCAAGGAGGCCCGGGCACTCAACGTGGACAGAGAGCCGCTCGGACACAAGTTTGAGGACTCCGCTGACTCTGCGTTGCCAGATCAGGCTCTCTCTCCCTCTCCCTTTCTCTCTCTCTCTCTCTCTCTCTCTTTTTAAGTTTCTGAGGTCCCGCTTGGCAGAGGCCACCGGCGAGCTGTCGCTTGCAGAGGAGGTCATCGACGTGGCCCGGCTAGCTTTAGTCACTTCAGTGTTCGAGCCCTAAGGCTAGAAGCGAATTATTTTCTTTCTTTCTTTCCTTCTTTCCTTCTTCTTTTTTCTCCTCTTTCCCCGGGGGGTCGACCTTGTTCTCGCTGCATGCCGAGAAAGGACATCACAAGCTCCAAGCTGGTGGGCCTCCGCCGCTTCTTCGAGCCCGGGACCTGTGGGCTCCTTCTCCAACAGCACAGAAACAAGATGATTCAGATGACATCACGATGCATCGCGCCAGGCATTACAACCTGCCGGCCGTCTGCTTGTGGCTCGGAGGGCCGGAGGGCTGGAGGGGCGACCAGGGCTGAGTCCTGAAGTGGGCAACAAATGCCATCTGCAGCCAAGGCCTGTCGCTTTTCCGGAAGGCTGCTCAATGGTTTGATCTGGTGGAGACGTGCAAGGAACAAGTTGCGTAAGTGGCACGCAAAAAATATATGTATATATATATATACATATATATATATATCTATCGATCGATCTATCTATCTATCTACGTGTATGTGACATATATGCACATATATATATATACACGTGCAAACAGATATCTGCGTAGGGCGCACCGCGCAGTGTGCACTGGTGTCAGCCTTGTATTCAGCGGTTGATTCCACTTTGCCGAATTCTCGGTCAGACGATGCTAGAAAAGGCCCAGCGGGGGGCAAAGAGTTTTTGAAGAAACAAGAAGACGAGTAATGGGGCGACAAAGATACAGCAAATTCAAAGGGTAGACCCTAAAGTGATGGCACGTGAAGGATAGCTTGCATGTAGAGCCGAGGTTCGGGTCGCGCTTAACTCAAAGTAGGGTTGATACCCCAAGGAACGCCACCGAAATAGCAACTTGACGTTAAAGCGATTAGCCAAGAAGACCTCGTAGAAGAGGCCCGGACCTGAACCGAGATTTAAGTTGTGTCATTCTCGTGCGAAAGACAAAAGAAATATTGAAGAGGTGACGGCTTCAGCGTGTGTGAGCCCCTGAAAGTGCCTAAAACCTCATCTCTCGACAGGTGGTGGAGCTACAGTGAGCCTGGCATGGACATTAGCAGTTGTGGTAGGTGCTTCAAGGCTTTGTGGCTTTATGGTCCTTGAAAACGCCCTGTCAGAAACCAGCTGCGGACGCGAAGCCGGCACAGCTTGCGGCTCAGTGCCTTACGAAGAAAGGGCCTTGCCCTGATTCACACTGTTGAAGCTCTGAAGACTCTGAAGTTCGCCGTCGGAGGCCAGACGAGCTTGGCGCCAATGCCCTACAAGTACCAATATGTTCCAATTGCGACCAGAATCCTTAGAAGCCAACGCTGATGTTGCGAGCTGAGGGACACTCCTCGCTCGCCCCAGTTAGATCGGCCCGGTGCCCGGCGCTTCGAAGTTGGGACGTCGGGGAAGAGGACAGCATATGGGTCTCTGTGAAAGGACTCGGGCCATCGAGAGCGAGGCCGCACGGGCACAGAGTGTTGCTAGCTGTCTGGTTACTGCTTGGTTACTGCTAGTTGCCAGAAATCTTCCACTGCAGTGGCATCCCGGGGGCATCTTTTCCTGAGGTGCGGCAGCTTGGGACAGTAACACGATGCAGCCTCCAGGGATACGTCGAGGGACGGGGTGCCAAGTCAAGCCGCGGTCAGATGCGTGTGCGTAACATGTACTAATGGTAATATATCTGTATATGCATATGTATCTATATGTATGTATATATATATGGATATATATATCTATGTATATATATATATATATCTGTATACATACATTCACAGTGCTCGGACTTACCTCACGGAGCCCCCTTTCAACTGGCAGGCCTGAACATGGATCAGGTCACTTCCAGCATGGTCGTGCAGGCTGGGACTTGACGGATGTCAAGGAGCAAAAGCAAAACCGAGGAACCGTTAACCACTTTAACCTTGCTGCACGAAGCGACCTTTAAATTGTTTTGATTTTGGTGCTCGGCAATTCTCAGGTGGTGCTTGCGCTCTTGGGCTTGGACCTGGGGAAAACGTCTTGCGACGCGGCGCGCTTTGTGTGTCTGCTGGCGGCACCCCCGGCCTGGGAGCAGCTGGACCGTTGAAGGGTTAAGGGATGTTAAGCAGATACACGCTTTGTTTTGGTGGGGGGGGGGGAGCGTGGAGACTCCGTTTTACCCTCCGCTTTGTACTTCATTGCTCATCGGAACGAGCTCAGACCCTTGAAAAGACTGAAAATGCTAAGCGGATATGCGTTCAGGTTACTGTGTTTCAGCTCTGCCTGTGTCCATGTTCAAGCATTTTGATCGCATGAGAGAATCACAGCAATCCGAAGCGGCTCGCAGGACTTTGCCACAGCGCTGTGGGGTTCGGCGGGCGAACCGGCTGCCGCGGTCCGGTCCTCAAAAATGGCCCCTGCAGTAGGGCCTGAGGGGCAGCGGGTAGGCCTCTCAGAGTGCGGGGGAGTGCCCTCTGTAACATCACGAGTCTTCATGGGTGTCTTCCATAGGCCATAGGCCTCCCAGGGCGAGGGAACTAAAGCGTCATCAGGGCCTAAGACCAGAGTCATCGGAAACAGCGGATTTTTGTGTTCAAGGAAATCATCATCATCATCATCGTCATCATCATCATCATCATCATCAGGTGGTCTTTCTAGCTCGACCACAAGCTTCAGTAGGTCGCACCAACGTGGCTCTGCATCCAGGGCCGAGCATCACGTAATCACAGTCTCCACGCATAAGCATCAGTGGGTCTCTACGCACACGGGTACCGTCAAAAGGATCGACCATCACCGTGTCCAGATTGGTGCCGTCACCGCACCGAGCATATCCGAGCAGTATGAGCATCAAGCAGGTTCCTCAAGATTTCCAGGGCCTGGCCTGGCCTTTGAAATCCAAAGCCCGCTGAGCTTGCAGCGTTGCAGCGTCACGGCGTTTCAGGGTTAGCACTCGTGTTTGTTTGTGTGTGTGTGTGTGCACCTGAACATGGTGATAGGTACCACTTGGTCATTTCCGTTCTCCGATTTTCCGCAGGGGATTGGGCCTGATGCTTCTACTCAATCCATGTGGAGTTTGGCCAGCTCCATGTACCTGCAACTTTTTCCAGGAGTCCCTTATGGGATTGCCCTGTACTGAGGTGATGCAGCCACTTCCGATTTCACTCTTCATTCTTTCTCTTTCTCTCTTCAGTCATGTCCAGCTGTGTGCATGTTTTAAGAGTTCGTGACTTGCCAAAGCGTGTGTCCGCGTCTCTGTGTCTCTGTGTCTCCGTGTCTCTCTGTCTCTGTGTCTCTGTGTCTCTGTGTCTCTCCGTGTGTGTCTGTCTGTCTGCGTGAGTCTGTCTGTGTGCGTCTGCGTCTGCGTCTGTGCGTCTCTGTGTGTGTGTGTGTGTGCGTGCATAGGGTGGCGAGCGAAGCTCAGGCATCATTAGCCTCTCGGACGCCCCGCTCGTCCCCCCTTTGCTGCCCCTTACAATGTGCAGGTCGTGCAGCAGCACCGGTGGAGCACTCAGTAACAGCAGAATGGCTCTGAACCGCTTCAGGGATTCATCTAAAGGGCATGCATGCCATCTGTGACGATCTGTGATCACCCCCGATGGTCCTCAGGGCTCGCCTGGCCCTTTCGAGTCCGGCCCACAAGCGCTCTGCGCACGATCTCGTGGCTTCGAAGTCGTCACGGGTCCTGTACTGCCGAGAGATACGTTCGCCACAGGTCCTGGAAGTGTCAAGCCGCACATGCCGCAGTCGCCGCGCCATCTCCCGAGCATATTATCTCGAAGTCCCAAGAACAGATAGCCACAGTCCCTGGTTTAAGGAACCGTTATGAACTATCTTTTCGCCTTAGCTGATGAGCTGCTAAGGCCGAGCATAATGCGACAGCGCTGACAGGCATGGGAGGGAGCCCGTCCACAGCTGGCCGCTGCTCCTTCCGTTTCGGTTTCACCTCTGTAGAACCTATAGGTATGCTAATGTCCTTTGAGAAAAATGCCGAACAGGTCTGATTTAGCCGGATTTCGAAGTTACTTGATATTACGTGATATATGTCTTCCGCGCTGAAGCTTCGTTAGGGATGCCTGTCCGGCGCAGCGTCGACTACGATACCCGCCACGGCTCAAACGTGAAGTGCCTCTTCACACTCTGCCAAGTCCTGTAGGCCGAGAGGCCCATTCGCCATCCTGTTGCATTCCACCACTGCCACTGTAGATATGTCTGCGTCTAACAGCGACAGATGGCATGACAGCACTGAACCACAGTCCACAACAGAAGCCTGCGAGCATGCGCGTCGCGCAGTACTCAGTACACCCCCCCCCGCAAGACCCTCTCCCTACTCGGACTCGCCGGACTCGAGTCGCGGCGCTGGTGGGCTCGGCTTCCTGCCAGCGCCTTGCGGGTCGCTCATGAGGCGGGGTTCTCAGAAATCAGATCTCTTTCCACGAAATTCCTAGAAATGCCTTGTAGATCCTGTAGGTCTACAGCCACTTGAGATGGACATCAGCAATCTGCCTGAGAAACTGCAAGAACCAGCAGCTGTGGATGTCCCCTCGGAGGCAAAAGTTTCTGAGTACAGCAGCAGCAGCTGCCGAGCTTTGACAATGAACATTCACAGAAGGATTCGCCAGCTGGAGGGGAGGTGCCTGGCCCTCAGCGGCCCCAGCGTTTTATTAACGAAGCCGATGTCTTCGCACATGTTCGAAGTGTGTTCGAGGTGTGTTACCATGTGTTCGTGTTGTTCGGTTTGTTCTGCTTCGCCGAGGCGGCGCTCTTTTTCGGATCCTCGAAGCCAACGAAGCAGGAGCACTGCTGGCGAACCGTCGTTTTCAGTCCTACATTGTTTGTCTCTTGGACTGACACCTCTAAGAGGCTCGCAGTGGATCACAAAGTCTCAGGACACTGACCAACACTGTCTCCCCACGGCTGCCCGGGGTCCCCGTACGCCTGCTCCCAAGTCACCCGAAGTCACGCGATATCCTGCGATTTTTCCCTGATGGACTGCAATCGTCAAACTGTTTCCTATAGGCTATGGCGTCCACTCCATCCAAAACCAGCGCAGTGAGATGGAGGAGAGCTTGTGATGTGTATGTTACAGTATGTTTTTCTTAGAGTTGACATCGTGGAAGATGCTGCGTCGCGCCTCTCCGCCTCGTAGCCCAGGACGCTCACCGGGCCGTACTGGGCGCTGCTTGCTGCAGCCCTTCCCTTCGAGCTCAGGTACTTGGTGGCTGTCCTTCCTTAGCAGAATATGGCAGATGTCTGGCGCATGTCAGGCAGAGAGGTGGCTTGGGAACCTCAGCTATTTCTCCGTCTTTGATGGGCCCGCTGATGCATGACTATTCACGATATTGGACTATCATGATGTTGCACTGTCGATTGCATCTTTGCGTGGGGGTGTTCAGGCACGGTGGCTCGCGAGCTGCCGAGTTCTCGAGTGACCGTGGTGACCCCAGCACCTGCCTGTATGTACTCATTTGGGTTTGTTCGTTTTTGGGGGCCCAGGTGTAAGAAGTGAACACGGGTTGCACACCCGCGAAACATACCCCGAAACCTACCCCTGAAACATACCCTGATCCCAACACCTTTCGCCCGGCCCCCCTTGACCCATTTGCATCCTGAAACTTGGGATGACGGGACGTGGGCTGCCACCCTACCCCCCCCCCCCCCCCCCCCCCCCCCCCCCCCCCCCCCCCCCCCCCCCCCCCCCCCCCCCCCCCCCCCCCCCCCCCCCCCCCCCCCCCCCGGCTCCCCCCCGCTACCCCGCTCCCCCCCCCGCTCCCCCCCGCTCCCCCGCCCCCCGCCCGCTCCCCCTCGCTCCCCCCCACTCCCCCCGCTCACCGCCGCTCACCCCCGCTCCCCCCCGCTTGCCAGAAGTGCCAACGGTAAAGAAGCGAGGGCCATGCGACCCATGGTCGGCATGTCAATCATATACCACTTTGGCTGACTTGGACAGTTTCCGCAAGTTATCGTATTGATCCCTAGGACCCTACTGAGTTGCGGGGCAGCTCGAAGTCTTAACAAGTCTAACTGTCCAACATGTGAGCAGCCGAGCTGCACTGCTTCTGAATCTCGTTGCCGGCGTTGCTGGCACCCGCATCGGTTCTGCCACAAGACTCCTGGACAAAGCTTTCTTTGACACTGAGCACATGACAACTGCCCCACTCCTGAAAACGCGGAGCTCGCACCGGGACAACACACGAGTGGCTGGGTTAAGACAAATTGTGCCCGAAGGGCAAGGCCATAAAGTTTCCAGCCAGCAAGACCAAAGGCTGAGCTCAGAAGGCTGTTCAGAATACCTTTCTGCTTCACTTCGAAATCGTCCTCGGTGCTGTAGGGGATTGGTCTGTCCGTCAGGCTTGTCAACACCGTTCATTGCTGCCATGCACAGCCAAGTTTATCACCTTATGGTTGGCAGAGACAGTGTCAGTGAGTCAGCGTCAGTGAGTCTACAGTTGCATTTGCTTGCTGGAGACATACACCCTTGCGCTTGACTCGTTGAACATGTCTGTGATTGCATCATGGGTGAGCTCGCAATGTACGCAGTTTGCTGCGGCAGCGCATGACATGTTCGGGTAGCTTGCAATCTGCCACTGAAATTGTAAACGCTTGCGCGCGCCGCCTCGGCAGCCGGGCCGGCCCCAGGACAGGAAAGGAGGGAAGAGGGTTTCGCAAAAAAGGGAGGAAGGGGGGGGGTGGGGGGGGGGGGGGTGGGGGGTGGGGGGGTGGGGGGGGGGGGGGTGGGGGGGGGGGGGTGGGGGGGGTGGGGGGGGTGGGTGGGGGGGGGGGGGGGTTGGGGGATTTTTGAGGCACTCCCCTGTAGGAGCCACCGACAGCGGGACCCTCCACGGCATCGGTTTGCAGCTCCTCCAAGGGATTGGGGGGGGTCCCACAGGGCGGGGGGGGGGGGGGTGGCGTCAGAAAGTTTGGCATGGCAGAAAGGGTTGGGTTAGGGGGAAGGAGGCCCGATCCGAGTCTGCTTGTTCCAGACGCTTCTCGGCAGGAAGCCGAGGCGAATGTTCATGTTGGTGGAATCTCAACACTTGCCACGTCACCCCAACGGCATGTTGGTGTGTCCCAGCTGAAAGGGAGCCATGAGCTTCCATCCGTAAGGGTCGCCGCACTGGTTGCCGACAGATTGGAACTTTCGTGGAACTTTCGTAATTGAGCCAGCAAGCAAGGTCTTTTCAGTCTCCTCGTGGAAAATCGCGACGAGCTGCATGCGGAGCCTCGGAATTGTAGTAACTCTAGTCGGTTGCCGCCGCCTTAGTATTTGACATTGTTTCTACGCTGGTGACCGCTGGTGGTTGATCAGGAGCCGGAACTTGCGCTGCAGAAAGCCTTTGCACAGACGGAGGCTCGCAGCATCTGGGTTGGACGGCGTGACTAACGACATGTGAGATGAGGACATTTGCGTGTTTCAGGCATTCTGCGTCATTCTTGATACAGGCTAGCACTTACATAACTCAAATATTATTTCTCTTATATGAACATGTGTGTGTGTGTGTTGCCGAATTACTGAGCTGACACCGAGGCCGATTGGTTGACGCTAGCCAGACAAGAGGACCTCATGGACGGTGCCCCCACCCTGCCTCTCTGCTCTGAAATCTCCTGCTCTTGAGCTCTACAACCAACGGTCGTTCATCGATGTTCATCATAAATCATTAGAAGCCCCCAAATATGTTCTAGATTCTGTAGCTTTCTTACAGCTGTTCGTCCTTCCTTTTTTGAGGTACAACGGCAGCAGTGGTGGTGGTCGACCGCATGGCCCAGCTGCCAGTTCACTTGCTAGAGTGCTCAAAAAATTAGCTCCCTTTGCGACGTGTCGTGTATGAATAGTCAGCTTCGCAAAGCCTGCAGCCCTTATAGGGATTCAACTCTCAGGGCATAGTCTCACACTGGCCAGCACTACAACAATGGTTTACACGGTGTTGCTTGTCAGTTTGTGCGAGTCGCGCGAGAGGCTGGCCGCTGCATCGTTGGCAACGTGGGTGACAGCGAGGCCCTGGTTGACTTGCCATCACTTCCACGTATTTCCGTGCTCCGAGATGAGACTTGGTATGACTTGGTGAGGTGATGCTTGGAGGGCGGAGCCCCGATGGCAGCATCTACGCTCAGGCTCTCACGGAAGTTCACCATTGCAAGAGGCCGGGGTTTCTTTGCTGGGCTTTTCTGACTGCCTATTGCTTTGCTTGCCTTCTTGAATTCTTGGGCCTTTCGTGGGTTTCTTCGCTCAAAGCTCTCCTCGACACTCTCCTCTGCAAGGAGCCATGAGGAGTCGCAGCGCATCCAGGAAGGGGGTGCGCAGGGTACAAGCCGGATGGGCCTTCATTCACAGATGAAGGCATACATCAAGGTCTTGTACTATGGTTGCCGCTCTGAGGCTTAAAGAAATTAGATTCTAGATACTTGGCAGTTAGATGCCAAGTTACCTTCTGAAGGATCTTGGCGGCCGCGTTTGGCACGGTCGGCTAGGCTGGCCATTCTGATATTCCGGTCTTGAGGGCACTTCTTGCTTCGAGTTTTCATGTTGGTGTGATTCCTGTGCGCGTTGTGTCCCTCACTTCGCCCTTAAGCCTTACGCTGCAGCTTCATGCCGTATCTACTCTGGCCATTACACCCACCTTAGCTTTGAGCCACCTTTGAAGGCGCTCTCTCTGCACTTTAGGTTTGAAGGCTGTGCAGGAGTCAGGTTCCTCTTGCACGGCTGGGGAGGAGTTTGCAGTGTAAACCAAGTGACTGGCGCAGGGAGGCTCTTGTTCCCTTTGGCAGGCCATCCGAAGATCAGTCCCCAGGCGGGTGAGAATCCTTCCACATCTCCCGTGTGAGTCCTTCGGATACTGTGTCGGAGGTCCTCTCATTGTCAGTATCTCGCGCCATCGGAGATCTTTTCTTCAAAGATGACAAGTGCCCTGGCTACAGCTGGGTATGCCCTGTGAAGTGCAGAGTCCTTGCAGTTTCTCACCGGGTCACCTTCGCCTTGCTCAGCTTAGAGTGCATGGGTATGGGGAGGTTCACCGGTGGCATGGCTTCGGGCCTGACAGCGGACCCATACATCCGCTCAGCGGAGGCCCGTGCGCGGGCCGTCTCTCTCCATCACTTTCTTGTGCTCTCGCCCTCTCCTCTTTCTCTCTGCTCTCCGCTTTTGTTCTTCTTCTTATGTTGGAGCCACAGGTATGTCAGGGAAGGCTTCAGCACGAGTTCCTGCTGATCGGCTGCGATGGGCTTTGGGACACCGTCTCCTACGAGCAGGAGGGGAGGGGGGGGGGCAAGTCGGCAAGTCATGGCAAGTCATGGCAAGTCATACTCAGACTCTTACCAAAGCTACGCGTCTCACTCCAGAGGCCGCGGCGCTGGTCCTGGAGAAGCTGGGGGAAGGAGAGGAGCCCCAGGCCATCAGCGAGGCGCATGGCTCGTTACTGTAGGACTTTCGTTTGTGAAATTTCTTCCCTGGCCGCGGAAGGCATTGGTTCGTGTGGCGCGTGACGCGGGATCTATGGACAACATCACCGTGATGGTCGTTGCGTTCTGACATTTGAAATCAATTTACGCGCAGCTGTTTCACAAACACTTGAGCGCGGATGGGTCGGGAGTCAAAAGCAGCTCCAAGTAGCCAAGAAAGGGCCAGGAAAGGACACAATCGTTTTCTCTTTCTTCAGTCGTTTGCTTAACATGGTCGTTGTGTAGGACGGCTTAATTATTAAAAAAGGGGACCTTCAACTTCTCCTACGCAGAATGTCACTCTCCTCACATACATCATCCCATCCCCCGATGATTTAACCCCCCCCCCAGCAATAGAAACTCGAAATGTGTTTGTACTTTTAGGGGGATGTTTTTGTCCAATGTCATGTTCGGGGTCCAAAGGGTTTAGGGTCTAGGCTTCAGGGTTCGGAGGGTTTAGGAAATTAATTGCTGAAACCCTGAGAGCGTAGGAGAGAGAGAGAGAGAGAGAGAGAGAGAGAGCGAGCTGCACTCATGAGCAAGGGAGCTTCAGGATGTTGGTTGGTTTGAGGCTTTTGGGAGCCTTCAACCCACCCCCCCCCAATTCGGAGTAGGGTTTAGAAGGCGGGGTCGGTTTCGGCAGGATTTTCCGGAAAGTGTTTTTGTAATTAGGGGTACGTTTAGGAGGAAGTGATGACTTCTGTTGATTTCACCGCCCGGTTTCCAACCTGCCCCAGTCTCATTCGCCGTACTATATTTCGTGTTTTCATTCGTTCGTTTGTTGCTGTTGTCCTTTCTGCTGGTTCCCTGTTGTATTCGTTCATTCTTCTGCTACCACGTGAATCAAAGGTGAAATGGCCTTTCTGTGGCAGGCCCTGCCTCGCAAATTGCTAGACGACGCAAGAAGAACCTGCCAGGGGAATTTTTCCTGGGTGCGATGTCAGTGATGTGGGTCATTCGCAGGTGGGGCAATATACTGCCTCCTGCAGTTTTAGTGTTGAAATCAGGGGGCTCAAGTCCACGAGCCCGACGGAGACTAATGAGGCTGGAATGTGGCCGGTGTTGTTTCGGGTCCATTGTTCATTGTGGACGGGGTGGGCACCGCGTTTTCTGTCCTCATCTCGGTGGCGGGGGATGTCCACTAGTGTTGGGCATAGCCCAAAAAGCGAAGTAGCAATGAACCATAGGCCGAATTCGTCGCAGCATCCGTTGATGATCCTGTTTGGGACACACAGGAGTCTAAAGGATGCAGGAGTACTGGGGGCACCGGTTGATTCTCAACTCCTCGAGTTGCGTCTGTCGGCACTGTAAAGGCTGCTGCCAGCCAGTCGCATGTCGCGCCTATTGCTTGAAGCACTCAGCCAGTGAGGCTCCACAGGGGCCTATGGCGTAGAGAAGAGTAGGATCAGAACAGTAGATGTGAAGGGCTGACTTCAGCTGGCCCACAATAGTGATGAGAACTTCATTGCCATCCCAGGCCACAGCACTTATGTGGAGTTTCTGCCGGGTTTGTGTAGCAACTGCTGATCACACTACACACTGTGTTGCTGGCCTTCTTGCCCGGAACAGGACGCTTTGGATGATGGAGCAACTGCCATTATGTTAAGGCCAGGAGAGCCAAGTGCTCCACCTTGCTCCACATTGCACATGGCGCCACGTCGCACATTCCTTCGCCAGGCGGTTGCCTTCAAAGCTTGCGACTGACAAGCTGTTGGAAGTACTGGATGAGATTGCTGAAGGCGCGCGCTCATTACCCGTTTGACCTGGCCGTAGAACCCCCGATCTCAGGACGATACGACTTTGTGTATGTGCCTCACGACCGGCACAAGGATTGCAATGTGGCTCTTGCTTTCGTGAACTTTGAGGATCATCAGTCCGCGCGGATTCTTTGGCATCAACAAGCGCTGGATGTTGGGTACCCCATAGTACCCCAGAGTACCACAGAGTGAGCTGCCAGTACGAGCAGAATCTCCGAGGATCGGCAGATGGGGTTGTGTTGGGGTGCAGTGGCTAAAACTTATAGTTCATGGCGGACCTCTGCCGTCCAAGCTGACATCTGCAAATAGTTGTGGTCAGTAGCAGCATGTAGCAGCTACACATTGAGAAACATCCGATCAACCTTCGACGACTTGTGAATGATACCATGAAGATTTTCAGGGGGCTTCTCCGAAGGCTGTAGCCTGTGGCATTCGCTTGTCATTGTGCGTTCGTCACATGGCCAAGTGCCTTCGTCCAACTCTGCTGCTTTGATCATGGCTCGTGTGCATTTTGCCGTGTCGTGTGTGCATCGTGCATGTTTCGCCAAGGAAAGCCTTCGATGCCATGCGGAACAAGCACCATCCGGTGCTTGGATCCAGCGTGAGGGTGTCCACGGTCGCTGCCCCGGAACCAGCTGCATTAGGCCGTTTTCTGACCGTTTCCGCCCTGCCTATGGCCACAATCTAACCATGAAGCCCATCTCCGCACCTCCATCCGAGAAGGAAGATGTCACGGCTGCACTGGGTAGCATGACCTTCATGAATCTACAATAGATGACAACACCATGAAGAAAAACTTCAACCCTCCACCACCCTCCTCCCTTCCTCGTACAAAAGACTATATGAACCCGCAGCTCAGAGAAAGAAGGCAAGCGAATGAAAGCACCGCGCCGTGCATGATGGTGCATGTTCGATGCACAAAGTCACTGAAAGGTCTTTCCTAGCGGAGGAAGGATGAGGCTTTGTTCTTCCTGTGGGGTGTAGGCGATTGCAGGCAAAAGCAGGCCTGTATTGTCGTAAGGGAAGAGACAGTGAAGAGAGATTCAGATATTCCAGGAGAATGAAGACGGGCTCAAATTCTAAACCTCTGGGCCTCCAAAGGCTGAAATCCAGGGCTTGAATGACAACCTGGCCTTTTTTGTGGCAAGGCGCTTCTCCCTTCGTGCATCTGGGATCTGCGAGCGTTTGGCCCTTGAGTTGGCGGGATTCCCAAGACCTTCATACGCAGGTTCGGGCTGCAAGAAGTGGAGAACCCACATGCTCCCCGGGTCTTCGAGAACGGACAGCCGCAGTCGCTGTTGGAGGTGCCAAGTCTCCCGAGTTTCGAGCGATCTTCGGGCGTTTTCAAGTCACAGCTATCTTCGGGCGTTTTCAAGTCACAGCTGACGTGCAGGCAGTGAAAAAGCATGTCGACATGGACCTGATAGCGCAGGCCACTGTTTGAGGGTTTTGGGTGCGAGTGCTGGGTGATTGCTACCTTCTAACCGATTTTAGCCACAAACCCTTGCATGCTGTAGTGACTGTAGTGACTCTAGTGCACGTCTCTTTTCTTCTCTTTGTAAACGCTGGCGCACGCCGCCCGCACCTCGGAGATTCCCACACGGGATGCACAGGCGGAAAGCGACCTCGGCGGGGAGCAACCTCCGTTTACCCGAAGCAAGCCAAGAAAGCCAAGCAAGCCCCAAAGAGAGCGCATTCTCTTGAGCGAACTGAAGGATGCCGTGGGAGTCCGAAACAGGTAGCGCCACGGCGCCGGGGGGAAGGGCAGGGGGAAGGAGACCAGACTCTGGTCGGCCTGAGACGCCTGTTGGCCAAGGGCTAGGCCCGGCTAGGCGAACTTTTACAGCTCTTTAAACGTCAATCGAGCTGCAGAATGCTGCATGCACTACATACCTGAACGCATGCGTAACTTTAAGCTTTGCTATAAAAGTTGGGCTGAAGGCGAGCAGGCGAATGAAGCCGCGGCGACCAGTGCTTTGGATGCAGTGCCCACAGCAGTGTTCAACGAGAGCGCGCCAATCCAAGACTCCCAAGGACAAGGCTGCGAAGTCGAGGCAGACTCCCTCTTTGTGCCGTTCGCGATACCGTGTACACAGATCTGCACACATCTGCACGCATCTGCGATTTGCACATATTATCGGTGCGCAATTCACAGTGCACAGAGAACGCATCGAGAGCGTCTGTGCCCTTTAGGAGGACACGTCCCGAGAGCGCCTGGGCTTGCTGTTTCGAGATGCCTCGGGATGTCTCGAGTGTAGCAGTGTAGCACAATGCGGCATTTGCATTGTGACAGCGCTTCTTGTGGATGAGGTCTCGTTCTGTATTCCGGCTAGCTGAGGTGGTGTGGGTCCATCAGCTCGTGGCTCGCCTGTACAGCATGTGTTGGTGTATGTTGGTGTGTAGTGGCGTCGTTTCACGCACAGTAGTGGATTGGAGTCTTTGGCTTTCCTTATATAAGTCTTGCAGAGACCTGTCAACTGGCCTGCTGCTTCAGGTAGTGATGGCCGAGCTGACATGAATGAAATGTGGCTGCATCAATCGTTGCTACACCATCTTGCTTTGCACATCGACAAAGACAGCAAACTCGTAAAGTCATGTGCCCTTGGCTAAGGGGATGCGCGCAGATGCTGTTGGAGTACAGCAGGGGCGAGCATACCATTCCGGCCATTCCGGCCGCGCACACCAGAAGTTTTGTTTTGCCGTCGTCGCATTGTCAAGTTGTGCAGTCGGGCCTGAAGGGTGCATCTTGAGCTGACAGCATGAGGCAATGTATATCGTCGGGCAGAAGTGAATGAGATTTGGCTGCAAGAAGCTGTTTCTCCGCGATCATTGCATGCACGTCGCCGAGTCGCCGCATGTGATTGAGTGCTCCTTGGCTCAGGGGATGCTCCCAGACCCTGTTACAGCCCAGCAGGGGCGAACATATCATTCCGGCCGCGTGCCAGAAGTTTGTCTCGCATGCCGCCGCCGCATTGTCTAAGTCGCGAAGGTGCGCCTGAGGGCAGTGTGCCAATGAGCTTGTGTATAGCATGAGGCAATGATTATCGTCGGGCAGACATGAGCGAGATGTGGCTGCAAGAAGCTACTTCGCGACAGTTTTGCATGCTTCGGTTTAGAAAATGTTTTGCTGATGCATGCACCTTCCCAGGGAATGCATCCCAACGCTATGGCAGTGCAGCGCGGAGACACTTTCAACCCCTGCTACCTGCCCGAAGAGTTGAGCCGTCTTGATGAGCGAGGGGTTGAACCTTTGTTTAAGGCCAAGGCTATAGCCGCATGGACGTCGGTGAGCCGTGGCTGCAAAACGCCTTCGCTGCACAAGATTCTGCATGCA